AATTATTTCCATGCACGTTTACTTCAACTAAAACATATACCAAATTCCTACAAACATAAAAATTCACAAAATAACCTATCATTTAATTAAAATATCACTAAACCATGTACACGTCGACTTATTTTTACTTAAAAAAAACATCCCAGAATTGCACAAAAATGGCATTGCGCACACTCTTCACCATATCCATGTACACTGCTTTTTTTCTCATAAATTAGAAAAATTTCACGAAAATGCATGACAATTTTCTGAATCTTTAAACCCGTTAAAAAGAACATATATGAAATTACCTAATAACGAAAAAGTATATTCCCTTTCCAAATATGAACATTTCCACGTATAAAATAAATAAAATATCCAAAGACTTTTACCTCTAAATTATCTATTATATTATAAACGTCACCAACGAATTCATACCTCAAACATTACAAATGGTTACAAATACTTAGTGTCAAATATTTAAATTATTTCCATGCACGTTTACTTCCACTGAAACGCATACCAAATTCCTACAAACATATAATTCACAAAATAACTATCATTTAATTAAAATATAATTAAATTCAAAAAACACTACTTGAATATAAATAAGCACATACATTAAATAATAAAATTAGCTTACAATCCTAATTACTTTAAACTAAATCATTGCTAATAACAATTTTCCAATAATACCATAAAAATAATATCCTCAAATAATTAAAAATACTAACTTACCTAATCTTCTTCAGGATCTTGATTACATGGCCGATAAACTTTTCTTATTTCTTCCACTAAATAAAAAGCAAGCGTATGTGCGCCTGTTTCAGGATCTTTAAAATCATACTTATAGTTGTTGACAGCAAGGTGCTAGGTAAAATAAATAACTTAATAAAACATCTTTACTTCTATATCGCACAACCTTAAAAAAACACTTATTACTACCCCTTTCAATCCCACTAAATACCCATTTCGAATTCACTTTAGTTAGGGCCATGGGATCCAAAAATTAACCAACACTGTTTCACACAACACAGAATAAAGCTAAATACAAAATTTCCAGATTTCCCCCCTTTTCCGATTAAAGAACCGTAATTCATCCATTAATATCACATGACATATCCCATGATCTCTCATTTCCCTCACACAAAATAATGCGTAATCGGAACTGAGTACTGCTCACATTATTACCAAAGTCCCAGGTAGTAAGCTTTATTGCCTCCAAAATGTCGCCAAACTACCAGTTACCATATTCTAAAGATCAGCCATATTTGCTTGTAAAGAAGAGTAATGAATGTCTAAATTATACGTGGATAGTTTTATTCATAGTTTGCACCAATTGGAGGTTACCTTTTTTGCCTTGCTTTGTTTCTGAGACAGAATTTAATTTATTATGAAATGTCAAAATCTGGTGAACATTTTTTGAAACCCAGTATTGCAGTGTGTAAACAAGAGTTTTGATTGTCATAATGCTGATCAGTTGTTTTTTGAATGAGAGTGTCCTATAAAAGCTGAAATATTTTAAAGATCTTCATTCAAGAAATATGTGATTAGAAAATCGTGATTTTGCTTGCAAAACTATATTATAAATGCAATTAGGTTCATTAAGCAATTAATATCCAAGCACCTTCATCACATTCATTTGGAAATTTAAATCATAAGTATTTTGGGTGAAGCATGTAAGAAAGTACATGTGAAGCTGTAGGGTTATTACTATATTTTACACTAATGAGTTATTTTATGTTTTGGGTCTTTACTGTCACTTCTCATTTCTGTTTCCCTGCCAGAATGTAAATAAGGTGGAAAGAAAGAGTATTTAAAGGAAGGTTTTGGGAGTTTGATTCAGAATTTGTTCTACCTCTTGAGCCCACGTTAATTGGTTAGCTAGTTTAACTAGGATTGTATTATTCGGCTTTTCATTATAATTGCCAAAATTTAAATTGTTACACTTTTTCTCCCTCCTTTCCTCATACCTTTGTGGTATAATTGGAAGCACACATGATGCGCATTCAGGAGATTCCTGGCAAGGGCATTTCACATTTTTCATAACTCTTGCTTCAGAGAAACCTAATGATTTTACAATGCCAATAAGTTTTGAACCAATTTCGTGTTAATTGGAATTGTGTAATCTTGAACTATTAGCATATTTAATTTAAATTTAAATTTGCTGTTTTTCTAAGTTATCTTGCCACAAGTGGTTGACAGTGTTTGTAAGCATGAGTTGTTCATTTAAATTCAAAATTTTGATTTAATAAAAAAAGCTTTATTTTAAAAGCTTTAGGAGATTTTGTAGTTCTGCCCAGACATAGTGATAATTAACTTAATGTCTGTAATGAATTTGGTACTAGTTTATGCTACCAAAGCAACCAATGAAAAGTAGTAGTTTGATTGAACTACTACTTGAAACTGCTACTTGATTGAAACTACATCTAACCAGTTTTTCATAAATTTTTATCATAAGCCAATGAAAATTGGTATTTTTCACATTTATTTACTAATTATAGTCGTTTAGTAGGTTATGGATTACAATAAAGCATGTAAGGGCCATTCTGTTTAATAGAAGATATATCCCTCTCTATAGGGAGGATAGTTCCTAGTTAAATAGAAGAGATTTCCTATTTCCCAATTTAATAGAAGTGTTTAATTGCTAAGGATTAAGTACTTATTTTTGTAGCATTATGTCAATATATATAAATAAAAATTAAAATATATAAAAATGTGGTACTTAGGTTTTTAGCTGAATTTCCAATGTGGAAGTTGCCAAATTTTTTAAAAATTCATCAAACTGTAGCAGCCATCCTCAAAACAATTCTTCAATTCATAAAGGTTTTTTGTTTACATCTTGTGGAGTCAGTCAAATGATTTAGTCTTCTTTTGAGTGCCACACTGTGGTTATTTTGAGGGTAAGGCAGAATGTATTTTGACAAACAAGAAAGCTGAAGTTGATCAGAAATACAAAACAATGCTGATGGTATCAACAGAGAAGGGTTAAAATAAGCGCTATACGTGCTATCTAACGCAGCAAATTAATCTTAGAAATCCATTTGCCTATTATTTTATCCATTGCAGCTGAAAGCACTGCTACGGGAACTTTGAACAGCTTCTTTAAAATACAACTTTTTCAGGATATTCCACAAGATTGGATTAATGAATAACCATCAGTTTCATAAAATAATTTTTTAAAGTGATCAGTCAAAACACTTATGTTGGTTTGATAAAGCATTTTAAAGGAACAGCATTCTGTCTGAACTTTGCAAAGTCGAACTATTCAAGATCTTTATAGTCCTATTAATAAGGTGAATGCCAGGAGTCTTATATGAACCTATAACATTGTAGCTCAGGAAAGACAAAGACTCAAGAAAATAATAATGAGATTACAATGGTTGTAGCTTAAGTAATTTTTTTTTTTAAAATCTTATTGCAGTAGTTTGATCATAGTAGGTTTGAAAAACAGTGATTTGTATTGTATTTCTCATTTTATTTATTTGCAAAAATGCAAAATTTTAATTTTTTTAAATAAAAAAATTATATATCTCTGAGCATTATGCAAAATATAAATTATACATTTTCTCAGTGCAAAAATGCATTAAAAGTTTACATGTTTTACTTCACTTTTTTGTTCTGAAATTTTACTTAACCCTCTTGAGTAGCAGGTTTTTTTTTGGATCTGCTCATGAAGACCTGCATTGAAACTGCATTTAATAGCTAAATTTGTATAATTACATATTTTAGTCTCTGTTTTCATAAACTTCCATTCATTAAGGCAATATTTACATCATTAAAGAAAGTAAGAAATTAAAAAACTGATATATACCATGAACAAAAAAAATTCACGACCAGATAGAGGTGGTTGTGCCACCCGGGAGGGGTGTTAGCAGTACCCAACACAGGAACATGTTGTCTTTTCCCTTGCATCAAAGGAAATATTAACGATGCAACCACGATTTATGCAGACTGTTAGAAATGGGTACAAAACTGTAGAACTTTAAGGAGCTGACTATTCCCTTCTAAAAGTTAACCACAGATATAATTTTGTAGATCTAGAAACAGGCACTCATACATAGTCTGTCAAGTGTTTATGGGGATCGGCTAAATGAAGAAACCGCAAAGCAACACCTTAATCCTATCTCTCAGAATTTATTTAGAGAAAGAAGCAGGAGCAAGTGGAGGAAATAATTTTGATTCCATTATAGAGACAATAAGCAAACAATTTCCACCTGAAATAAACAGTAATTGAAATTAGCAACACACCTTCTACTCATTTATAATTAGTTTTATTTTCTCAGTCTTAATTATGTGTTATATCTTATTATTTGTTCTTATTTTACGATATTGTGGGCAGATGATGGAAAAATAACCATTTATCAGGATCATACTTGCAACAACGAATAGGTATGGATATATTTCACTAGAAATCCATACGTAATTTCAGTTTCTATAGTTCTCTTTTAGAGAATAATGTTAAGAACGAAATGTCAATGAAGTTGATTTCAAGCAAAAGTTTACTAAAGAAACCAATAACTCTGACCCAAATACACCAAAAAAGCTTATGGCAATTGCAAACTTGAGGGCATCTCAGTTAAAAAAGGGTTAAAAAAATTTTTTTTTTAGTGTTTGATTTTATTTAACTAAAATTCATGTTAATTATATGAAAAGAAAGACCCAACTTTAAACCAACTGATAAATCTTTCTTATTTCTTTTCATCAGTTCCACCTATCACATAATTTCAGGGTATTGTCATATTTGATAAAGGGAAACTTGAAGTTTCTGAACTGACAGACTAGGTGGCCTTTATCATCTGGTCTAGTCACTTAATTGCATTCATAATCAATTAACTGTTTTGAGAACTGCATATGAAATATTTATGGCAACAGGCATTTGTCTGGAATTTGTTTAAACTGCATTATTTAAATGAAATGAAGATTAATAATGAATAATATGTGCATATCTTGTAATTTTTATTTTTTCATTATTAATCTACAAGTTATGTGTTAATGCAGTTAATGTATTTGAACTTTAGAGCCTATCATGGTTTTTGTTTGGTATATCCACTGATGGCGAATAAAAACCCACCTGCACATGATTTTGCACCAGCGTGGCTCAAGATACCTACCTACAATAATTTTGTAAGTACAGAATCCTTTGAAAAATTGTAATGTTTTTCAATTGTAAATGCTTTTTAGTATAAATTCTTTTTAATAATACACTACTTTTAAACTGTTAACATTCTTAACCATTTTGTATTATTATGGATTTATTCCAATATGTATGAAAGTCATAATTTATTTTTATTTCTGTTGTTCTTTCCATTTGCAGTTAATTGATTTGTAAATAATTTAATTGTTCCTGTATGTGTAATTTATATCTGTATATATATATATATGTAATAATAGAAAGGAAAAGGCGGAGCAGCGTTAATGCGTAATACCCAGATAAGGATAGATCGTCGATCCATATTGAAGATGAAGCATTCTGATTGTATAGTACGCTAATATGTTGAGTTCGTAATATCTAAGAAACTTGGCAGTCGAGGGAGTTTTAATTCCATTTTTATTTTCCAGTTGATAATTGTAGCCACAATTTACTTGGTACTCTAGTCGTGCCTATTCGCAGAACATTTACATTTTTTGCTATTATTGCGATAGCGAGCAAGTCTACAAATAAGGCGTTTTTGCAAACGTAGGCCCACGGATATAGGCTTTGAGAACCCTAGTTTGAGAAATGCTGTATTAAGAGAGGAGGTATTGTGTTTTTGTAAAAAAGACTAAACCTTTGGCTTTATTTAATTCTTATTATTTGTATTTTTGATTGTATATATATTTCCATTTTTTGCTTTTCTTTATTTTCTTCCTTCTAATTTTTACCTCAGAAATTGAAGGATACAAGAATTTAGCCTTACTAGTTACCATTCCTCTAGGTTTAAAGGTTTTGGATGTTTTTAATTTGTTTAGTTAAATATTTAGTTCATGTTTAAAATTCTGTTGGTTACATTTATCATTTAGTGCAATCTGCAATTTTCTAAATTTCGGGAATTAATACGACGTTGGGTGTGAAGGTTATAAAATGACTATGGTCTCTTTTTAATTTCCTTTTAACACGTTGATTGCCCAACACGAGATAACTCGTATTAGCGCCCTTCTTCAGGACACCCAATACAAGTTCCAATTTTGCGCTGCTACGAGTTACTTACTCGCTTAGCGCTTGTTTTATCTGTTCCAAGGCGAGAAGTTGAAGCATGTCTGTACGAATCAACTCGTAGTAAGCTTCTGCGAAGAACTTTCTCTAACAAAACAAAAAAAGCCGACTACAAGATAATTCGTAGGACCCTTTTTTCTACGTATTTTTTTAATGATTATTACGAATCATAATTAGTATTTTTAATAATATAATATGATTAAATCGGTTTGGCTTCTCGGACCGGAATCCGAAAAGTGCAGTGGCAGTCAACGTGGTAATAGAACAGGATTAGTTGTGTTAATTTTGTCCATCTGCTTGAGAAAGAATGGAATAAAGAACTGTTTTAAGTATTTAGCTTGTATTGGTTTCAGCTTTTTTTTTTTTTTTTTTTTTTTTCCATTTTTTTATTTAATTTTTATTTTTGTGCATTGTCTGGTTTTCTTTACCATTCCAAGTCAAATTCCTTAATTTGAGTTACATACCGTATGTTTCTTGTAACTAGGAAGATTTGAATTTTTAAAGTATATATGTAAAAATGTGTGTATTCATTACATTTACTACTTGGGAGATAAATTTTTCCATTTATTTTTTTTCATTTCCAACCTTAAGAGTCTTTGATGTAGTAAATAGTGCCTGCCGCCTTTTAAACTCACTGGCAAATAAACTCTACCGCATATTGCCTTCAAAATTTCCAGAAACCGAAATTAATGTGCACTAATCAATAGAAAAAGCTGCTGTTTATTAAACTCATCTCTGCTGCTTATTAAACTCAAACTGGTTATTCAGATTTTAAATAAACTGGTTGTGACTGATGAAAGCTGTTTGTAGTTCATTTCATTTATTTATCTTTCAGCTTTGTAGTGCTTCAATAGAATGGGTTTAGCAGACATTTTAGCCAGTATAGTTAAAACCAAAACCCCCTGGGGTGTTAGGTACACTTCCCTAGTTCCTGTCAGACACTGTTTACAAATCTGTCCGAGCTGCATATAAGCATTCTGTGCAATGTAGGGAAAATTCCGTACTTGTGATTGGACATACGTTCCGTTGCCGTCATTTTCTCTTGGTGTAATGATGTTTAGACAAGATTCTTATAGTTTTCTTTTTGATGAATGATGCGTACGAGTGATACGGAAGCACGGAAACTATCGTTTGTTTTCTTTGAAACGAAAAAATCTTAACTGCAGCATTCTGCAGATGGGTTCTTGTTTCGTGGAATCATAAAATTATAAAATCTCTCAAAGATGATGTTAATATCAGAAGCAGCCTTAAGTACTTATTAAATATATAATTAAGTATTATATAAATACTTGAGTTCATAAATTTAGTACGAAAACCAATACACGACGATTTCAATCCAACTATATAGGTATTGTGTTCTAGTAAGCATATTATTATTATTGCAATTTTGTTGCATTCTGTTCCTTTCACATTGCAGAAAATAATACATTTGCAAATATCATGTTAATGTCCATGTCATTTCTAATGTTGTCTTCCTGTAAATAAAAGAAAAAAAAGTGTATTCAGTATTGTAACACATTTAAACTTTATTTTCTGACAAACACTATTTTTACACAAAAGCACAAAAGATGTTGCTTATTAAAAAATAGGCAATATTCATAAAATAATATTATTCAATTTAAAATACATATCTCTGTTTCTGTGTTCCAAATCTATATTAGTCTAATTTCAAACATAAATTTTACTTTTTCAGACTGTTTATAAATATTGTGAATTCACTGTGTAATATGTTGGCTCCCAATGTCATTTTTGCTCTTTCTGAAATCTGACTTGTCTCATGCTTTGGAGGTAGCATTTGCAGAGAATGGATATATAATGAACATGAAATAATGAATTAATAATTGCAGCACTTTTAATATGAAGGATTTTAAATTAAGAATACATTTATTAAAAATCTATGCACTTAACACACATTTACGGAGTTAGCACAAAAAGAAATAATACTTTCTCTTTCTCTAGAAAAGGAGGGGGGAAACTACTTTTTTTTTATATTAAATTCATCACAGTGTTGTAAGAAGTATAATTTCATAGCAACAAAAAATACAATGCATGTAATAATTGTTTTAGTACTGCTATCAAATTGTAAACAAATGGTATGTAGGTGTACCCTCGAGCCCAAGCAAAGTCAAGGCGTTCCTAAGCATAGAAGAAATAATGTCATCGGAAGCCATATCCAATCACAAGCAGCGATTTTTCTCTATGTGCGGGGCACGCTACAGATTGCTTATATGCGTCTGGGCTACAGCAGAAGTGACATAATACCTTTATCTTATAGTTGACATAATACCTTTATCTTATAGTTGACATAATACCTTTATCATATAATTAACAAAGGCAGTCCTGTAAAGGCATTGGAAACAAGTTCTTTGATTATAAGTGACTGTAAGTGAAATAAATAAAGTGAAATAAGAATAAAGAGTAGGTGATGCTTTAAGTGAATACAGGTTCCCTTTCTCGAACACCAGCTGATGTGTGATGGACATGCATATACACATTAAGTTTGCTGAGTGTTTTCAGAAAACATCATGTAATTCTTACTTGCATTATTGTACATTATCATTCTCTGATTAGAAAAGAGGAATGGTTGTTGTAGGCTGAAGAAAAAGAAAACATTGATTATACCTATACTAACCATGAATTGATGGTGTGATGTACAGGTGAAGTCAACTAATGAGATGCCTAGAGAGCTCTTAATCTGAGAGGCCCAAGAGTAGTTTCTAGGAAGGAGACCTAAAGAGAGGTCAGAGAAAAAGGGAAGGCTCATAGAAGCCATTAATGGAAACAAAATTAACATATATTAATTAATGTACGTATTTCAGTTATTAGTAGTGTAGTTTTAGTAATATGGCGTGTAATTTTGTGTGTGTAATAAACATTTAAAAAATGCGAAGAAAAGTGAATATTTACGGCCATAAAAAGACGGTGACATTACAGACAGATTGACTTGACAACAGGCCCGGATCGAATAGGTGCGGGGCCCGATTGGATTTTTTTTACGGGACCCTCTCTATATATTAAATATTTAAATAAAATTCAAATTCAGTATATATGTATAAATATATTAAATGTCACGGATCATCAGACAGGTAAACTTCTACATAACTTATAAAATAAAAATGTTCAAAATGGAAAAACATTTATTGAATGTAAATTTACATTACCAAATATGAATGCATGAATTTACATATTTCTAAGTCTTTGCTGTGTAAATTCTTCTAAAATTGTTTGAAAATGCAGTCAAAAGTCGTTAATTCGGACATCCATAATCCAGAATGACCTATAATCCGGACCTCAAAGCTAAAATCTTTCTGCCCATGCGTCACGTTGATGCATGCGCATAGATGTTTTACGCGTGCGCGCAAGACTTTTACGACTGCGCATATGCGTCTGCGCAAGCGCAGAATATGTTTTCGCGTGCGAGTTTAATGTATAACGGACGATATAAGCTCAAAATTATCTAATTATCTATTTCAGTTAATGTTGATGATTGCATTGTTCCTTAATCTTCGAATTGGATCCGGCTTATTATTTTTTGCAGACTGTAAAAGCAATTTTATAAAAGTAAGCTTGAACTTTCGATTATGTCAAATAGAATTTCCGATTCTGGAGCTCCCAAAGGATCTAGAAAACGAAAGTATGTTTTGATGTCCATCAAACAAAAAGTGGAATTGCTACAAAAAAATGGATAAAGGCATATCCTTTGTTTATCTAACCGTTCCAAAATCTGTTTATCAATTTCACGCTGCTCTGCATGGGGGGGGGATGTCGCGGCGCGCAATAAACTGGAAGTTGATCTGTCAGCACTATCGTTATCTTCAGGGCAGATGTTTTGATTTTATTCGGCTTATAATTCCTTACTAAATGTAGTATTTAATCTCAATGTACTCCGTCTTTGATATGATTTAAATCAAATTCCTCGTCATTATAAATATTACGAATACAAATCAAATAGTTTTCTGGTTGCAATTTTCTAATTTCGGCTATGCGTAAGGTATGCTTTACGCATGCGCGCGTTGAAAGAAATGTTTAATAAAGTAAACAAATAAATATTAAGCTTCTTTTTTGTAAATTTTGATACCCTTTAGATCATAATTGCTCATTATTTTATAAATTACGGTTTCATATTTTTAATTTTATAATTTCTGCATGCCATCTTACCAGATTTAAACTGATGATCTATAATCCGGAATCGAAGTCCCGACGAGTCCGGATTAAAGATTTTTGACTGTATAATTTCCTTGCGTCTTCACTTTCAATTGACATAATTGCTAAACTATTTAATCTATCCTGTTTCATTCTCAATCTCAGATAGTTTTTTAAATTAATTTTAGCCTGGAAAATGATTTCTCTCCAGAAACAACGCTTACTAGAATTGTTAAGAATATTTGGAGATCAATACACAAGTTTGGAAATGCCATTGCTCTATCATTATCCAATAAAAATTTGAACATTTTAAACAAATTTTCAAAAAATTATGAAGGAAAAATAGATTTCAAAGCTTCCAAAACACTGGAGGTTTAGAAAATAAAATCCTTGTTGAGTTTCAATGCATTCAATAACAAAAATTTAGGTTTACCACTTAGAGATATTATATATTGTAATAGAAGGGAAATAGTTGTGCATCGATTTATATTGTTGCTGCATTTTTTCTTTAAAAGCAAAATTGCATATTCAGGAACCCATTAAAATTTCAAAAAATAAAGATTTTTTTCGAATGGAAAAATATTTCTTCAGTTTTTATTATCTACACTTTCAGAATGCTAAAATCACCTTTCAGGTATCAGACTGTTATGCAAAATTTTCAGATCTCAAGCTTTTTGTAGTTGCTTTCTTTCGGAGCAGTGAAGCTCGGAATGAAGATCCATACTGAGTTGATGAATATTAATAAAGAATCGTACTGAGGATTAAATTCAGGGAAAATACAGTCAAAAGTCGTTAATCCGGACTCGTCTGGACTTCCGCGATTCCGGATTATCGATTTTTCCGGATTATAGATCATCAGTTTAAATCTCGTAAGATGGCATGCAGAAATTCTAAAATTAAAAATATGAAACCGTAATTTATGAAATAAAGAACAATTATGATCTAAAGGGTATCAAAAGTTGCAAAAAGAAAAAGCTTAATACTTATTTGTTTACTTTATTAAACATTTCTTTCAATGTAAGTTGTTTAAGTTTTGCTTCGTTTCATGTGATAATACTTTCTCTTTAATTCTATTAAACAGACATAATTTCTTGTTCAGTTACAAAGTTCCACTGTTCAAGTCCTATAATTGCTGTGTCGAGAACACCGACTAATTTGTCAATCGAAATTTTTTCGTTTTCAATAACCTCTGTCACTTTCTTCGCTATCGGAAGCGAATTATAATGACGAGGAACTTGTTTTAAATCATATCAAAGATGGAGCATATCGAGATGAAATACTACATTTGGTAAGGAATTATAAGCCAAATAAAATAAAAACATCTGCGCTGAAGATAAGGATGGTGCTGACAGATCAACTTCCAATTCATTACGCGCCCGCCGCGGCGATCCCCCCGCCGAGCAGCGTGAAATTGATAAACAGATTTCGGATTTCGAAACATACTTTCGCTTTAGATCCTTTACATATTACCAAATATATATCGGAAATTCTGTTTGATATAATCGAAAGTTTAAGCTTACTTTTATAAAATTGCTCTTACAGTCTGCAAAAAATAATAAGCCGGATCCAATTCGAAAATTAAGGAACAACGCAATCATCAACATTAACTGAAATAGATAATTAGATAATTTTAGCTTATACGTTCGTTATACATAAAACGCGCACGCGAAAACGTATTCTGCGCTTGCGCACACTCATGTGCGCAGTCGTAAAAGGTCTTACGCGCACGCGTAAACGCCTATGCGCGTGTGTCAACACGGATGCGCAGAAAGTTTTTAGTTTTGAGGTCCGGATTATAGATCATTCCGAATTATGGGTGTCCGAATTAACGACTTTTGACTGTAGTACACATCTCAACTACTCTATACATCTTTAGTATCCTAATATATCATTTGATTCCCTCTAAAACACAATTCTCAGGTAAAAATTAATTACTTTCTGAACACTACTTGTGACTGAGGGGTCAAACCACTGATTACTGGTAGTTCGACTTGGGTTCGAGGCCAGGCGATCGGGTTGGCTGCATGTTTGGTTTTCGTTGTTTGCCCCATGTGAAACGTGAATACGAGATAGTTTTCCTTAAAAGTTCTCCACGAAGGCATCCTTTCCCTTAGGAAGGCAGCCTTCGGGTACTTTCCCATGTTTAATTAATCTAAACTATTATATCTACTTTCTGAAAGAATTGATACAGATATATTATAGATGCAAACATATAACAACGGATAAATTAAAATAAGTTTTGAAACTTTTTAAAATATTGAATTATATAATGTTCTTCACTAACTGCTTTAATAAAAATTTGTGTTTCATTTATCGCTCAGTCGAAATGTATTTTGTCATCAAAATTATTCATAAAAGGAACGGTTTCTAAACATATTTATGAGACTCTCAGAAATATAGCTTTCTTATTTCGAATATAATTTTATTTTTATTCGTCTGAGTAAAGAAAAGATTATCTGCCTAATCAAAGGGGGCCTTCGTGGAGGACGTTCGAAAGAAATTGGCTCATATACGTAAACGAATACAAAAGTTTCATGCAGTCAATCTGTTCATCGAAATTTGAACCCGTTTTGAATTATCAGTGTTAAGGAAATTTTATCCACTCAGCCGCTAGTTACAGTTTAGAATATAACAAACCAAAATTTCACTCAAGTAAATAGTAGTCGTAAATGTATGTCATTTAGAAATAACATTAAAATTAATTTTCATCATCTGAAACGTATATATTCATTACACTGCCTTTACTTGCACATTAAAAATTGGAATAAATTGAAATAAACTATTACAAAAAGAATTCAATGAAGAAAATTTCCTTTACGTTTAGCCATTATTTAATACCGAACTCTAAAAAATGATAAATATCAACTCAAAGAATTTATAACAGTATTTGCAAAAGAAAAAAAATTGAAAAAAGATCTTAAAACGCAAACAGGCGACAATCAAAGTAACAAATTGTTCTTTTTATTTTCTCCTCTTGAAAAAATATTTCCTGGAAGACACCAAATTTGCAAGCAAGCCATGTGGGTTCAAATTACGGACAATTAACTACCCCTACCCACAAAAGAACGCACTCGTTAGGGTGTTGTAAAGTAGTCGTCAAACCTCAACCATTAGAATTCCTACCCCTGCAACCAAAGAAAATCTGTCCCGAGCCCCCAGTTGCCGTTCACTTTGCTCGGGACATATATGTTAAAGGCCCCCAGAAAAAGGTTAAGTAAGGCTGAGTTAGTTTTGGTTCTCAATGCATTTTGATCCGATAATTAATACTGCTGTAAAATTATTATTTTTTGTTCTTGTTCCATTTCCATGTACATCATCAAAATTATGTAACAGTCATATGACATGAATTAATCTTGTAGTAGAAAGAGAGATTACTGTTTTTAGAATAGAGATGTGAAATTAATTTATGCTGCTAATTTAAATTGCAATGTATCTTTTGCATATTGTTTACTTTTCTTACATATATTTATATATACACATACACACTGGACTTACTTCTTTTTCCGAGTAATTTGTTTTATAAGAAAAGAGTTATAATCTGTGATTAATAATTATCAGCACTAATTCTGATTATTTATTGGAAAGATATGTAATAATTCAGATCTTTTAATTTGTATTACTTTCATTTATTTTTAGAAGCCCTCTGGTGCATCCAGCGAGCGTGGCGGTCATACTAGTCGTAGAGATGAACATAGCTTTGGTTTCACTCGCCACAGTAAGGAAGGGGATTCTTTAGCATCGTATCAGTCATACTTTAATGATTGTCGTAAAGATAAGGAGGGTAAGTAATAATTAGAAAACACTTACTTTATAACCTGCCAACCATGATGCATGATAAATGGTAACATGGCAACCTGTTGCCAAGCAGCATGATTTTATTGCCAGTTATGAATAAGCATGACATAACAACACACCAACTTCTGTGCTTTCATGCAGTGTAACTCAAGTTGATGTCAAGTTAACTCCAGTTCTGTATAAGCCCCATTTTGTTTTTATGAACAAGGATATAAATTAACTGTTATTGCTGTAATTTTTCTTGTATTAAAAAAAAAAAAAAAAAAAAAAAATTATCAAAATTTGAGATCTGCCTCCTATAAAACAGCAAGCAGTTGATTATTTTCAGTTAGGGGAAAGTTTTACCATAAAAAAAGTGTGTATTAACCTTCCAGCATGCGTGATTGGTAATTTTGTATGAGCATTCGTGTGTCTTTTTTTTATAACATCTGTTATTTTACAACTTTTGGCACAAAAAATGACAAAAGTGAGTGAATATTGATAATAAATTTGTTAAGAAATAAAAGAATAAACCTTATTATTGTAAAATACAAATGATGTCACATTCAAATGAAAGTAAATTATTTTTAAGTGCTTATATTAGTCAGGTGGAAAGGTAATGATGTATTTCATTATAGAAATTTTAAAATTTATTATTTAATAACTATATTTTAAAATCCAAGCAAATTTTAATATTCATCAAAGGCAAGTATAGACAAATAAAAAAAGGAAAGTACACTCACCTTGGTAGGAAAAAACATAAGTTTAGCATTACTCACTTCTGCATGCAAATTTACTTCCTACTGGATACAAAAACTAATTGGAAACTGATTTAATTTTAATATTTTTTATTTATTTAGAAAAAAAATATAAATAAAAGTAAATAAATAATGGTAATACTAGAAAAACAGAATTCTAAAGATATTTCTCAATGTTCAAGGTTCACATTGCATTCCATGCAAATAATTTCAGTAATAGAATGACGCTTGCATGTGTATCTAAGGCATGTCTTGCATTTCATAAATTCTGATGATCTCTCTTTTTCTCTGACACACAAACCACATGTTCCTCGTTTTGATAAGGAATGCTCTGGCAGTTCATCATTAGAAACAGCATAGTTACGACTTAGAAATGTTGAAATGTCGGAAGGTAATGTTTGGATTTTGGCATGCGAATGAAGATGCTCTTTTATAAGACTAATAGATAAGTTCTTCCTGAAGATCTTTTGGCCTGGTGCTGTGTTAGCTGTCTTTGCAAGCATGTGCAAAACCTGGGCATTATATTCAGAGCTGTGGAGTTGGTAGGGAAAATGACTGACTCCGACTCGACTCCGATTCCCTCATTTATATATATATATGTAAACATATACACATGGATTGCAGCTTCTTTTTTTAATATAAAAGAAGTAATAGATGCTACAGAAAAAAATTGATGGCATAGCATATTATTTATATTAATTAGCATTTATTATGAAATGGAAAAACTGGCATTAGTTATTTCTAAGAAACAGTATAGCTTTGGCAAGATCTTCTTTGTTGGAGGGCCGTAGATCCGATTTGATAAACTTCAGAGCTGAGAAGAGTTTTTCCACACTAACTTGAGTAGGAGGAAAAGCTGTTACTCTTAGGGCTACTTCTTTTAACTTTTCAGGATAGATTTTTATAACTTCTAAAAGAGGTGTCTTGCAAGCACAATCATATTTCTCTTGATCAGTAATTTCTCCTTTTTCTGCTCAATTCCTAAGAATGGCATCAATTTTGAGTTCTTGCTGCTATTGCTGCTTACCTAAATTTACCAGTAAGATTTGTAACTAAATGAATCAGTTCAATCACTAATGGCAAATATCACATCCATCCTTCTCCCTTATGGCCGAGCGGTAAAGTCGCTGAACACTGGTAGTTCGGTCCGAGGTTCGAATCCCGCGAACGGGCTGGCTGCATGAGTGTTTTCGTGGTTTTCCTCATGTGTAACGTGTATACGAGCCAGTTTCCCTTAGAAAGTCCTCCACGAAGGCACCCCTCCTCTTAGGCAGATAGCCCTTGAGGCTTTGCCGTAATTAAATAACCTAACCTAACCTAACCTTCTCCCTTATATTTATTAATATGGCAATAAAATAGAAAATAACTATTTATTAATGCATACAGTTCATAAATAAAAATCATATCTCAGCTTGTCATTAATTTTTTTCAATTCATTTAAATTTCATTTCAAATTCAAACTCGAGTTGGAGTCGACCTGTTTTTAGTTACTCAGCTCCGACTCCTTTTACCCCAAAATCTGCCCAGTTCCGACTGCCCTGATTATATCCCAGGAATATGCAAAAGACTGAAAAAGATAGCACAAGGCTATCTCCTTGTGATTCTCAAAACTGAATAGGTTGCACTCTGCTTTGACTCTTCCATCCAGAATAGACTGCAAAACCGTCATTTCGTTTGCTTGCTCACCCATTTCTAAAGGATAAATATTCTGCATGGGTCATACTATGTTACAGTTCCTTGTTTTTACTTGAACAACACAAACATGTCCATCCTTTCCTGGATACAGCTTAATTATTTTTCCTAGCTGCCAATCAATCCGTTTGCTGTTTTCATTCCCAACCAAAACTATTTGTCCTAATTTTATTTGTTCCTTGATTTTACCGGCTTTCTTAAAATTTTTAAGTTGTCCTCAGCTGTGAATCTTTTTCTTAAATCTTCTCTGAAGTTCTGACGATACTGCCAAGCTATGTTCCATATATGTGATCAAATTCAGTCATAGAACTTCTACTTTGTCTCTTAAAATCATATTTGGATTTAAAGGCATTAAATCTTGAATGTCTTTCAATATGTATGTTAAAGGACGGGAATTGATGCCATTTTCAACTTCATATAACACAGTGAGTAATTATTTGTAATAAGTGAGTAATTATTCCTAATTTTAATTCATAATAAGTGTCAATCTTTAATCATAAAGGACACTTTTATAATTCTAATCAGTCTTTCCCACCATCCTCCTCACTATGCCGATGTAGGAGGATTAAATTTCCATTTAATGTTCTTAATCGTGGCTTTTCCGTCCACTTCCTTCCAATTACTTTTCTGGAAAAGGTTATTAGTTCCCATATAGTGCCATTGTCTGAATATATAATACTTGGTCTTCCTCTCCGAGCTATGAATTTTCTCAGGCATAAATCCTTCTTTGAATAGAGTAGTAACAATTTCAATGTGTATTGCCAATAAACGGCGCATGTAAATATCACTATCCATGCCTTCTTTCTGGCCTCGAAGGTATAAAGCTCCAGCCAAATCAACACCTGTAATCTGGAAAACTGCAGAGTCTGTTACTCTTTCCTCTGGTAATGGTATGGGGGTTTACGTCTAAAATTGGTTAACTTAAATTGCCTACAGTGACCACAGTTTTTTATTACGTGACGAACTGTACGCCAACATTTGAGAATCCAAAATTGTTTTCTCAGAATTGCCATTAAGGCTTGAATACCTGCATGGGAATTTTCTTCGTGTTTTTCCTTGATTAACAGGTTGGTAATAACATGATTGGGAGGAAGAATTATCGGAAATCGAAAATTTCTACTGTCGTTTCTCTGAGAGATCTTTGTTGTAGTTCGTATCAGTCCTTTCTCATCCACAAAATGTTGCAATGATACGATTGTTTTGTCTTCATGAGATTCAAAACTTTCTTGGATTAATTTTAAAAGAATATCTTCTGCTTCTTCATATTCTGCAAAAATAATGTTACCGAAAAGACGATCTTTAGGTAAATTTCTGGCATTTTTGCCAAATCCTTTTATCCAAGCTATCATCCTTACTGTCTTTTTATATGAAGAATATCTGTTGTAGAATAAATCCCTTGTATTTATAACGTTGGTAGCTGTTATGGCACATTTTCTTTTCTCTGAATTTATTACAGTTTCATCCGGTTGCACTAATTCATAATAAGTGTCAATCTTTAAATTTTCGTTTAGCCATTCTGGTCCATTCCACCACTGAGCCTTCACTAATTGTCGTACTGTACATCCTCTTGAAGCTGTATGTGCTGGGTTCTGTGAACCTGGAATGTGATACCAATCATTTATGCTACTTAGTTTTCTAATTTTGTTTACTCTATTGGCCACGAATGTAGCCCAAACAGCTTCTCGTTTAATCCAACAGAGAGCATTGCTGGAATCTGTCCCGTAAAATGTTTTAATATTTATCAGATGTAAGTCTCTTCTTACCACTGCAGCTAGTTGAGCACTATTCTAATAAATATGCATGTTGCATAGGCCATTTTGCTGGCATCACAGAATACGTGCAGACTCCATTTATCAGGTTCATAAATTTGAGAGCGTTTTGCAATTAAATGAGGAATTCTAATATCTTTTAATTTAAGAATTTGACTGTGCTATAAATTAAACTTCTTCAAAATCTTCTCTGGCACTTCTTGATTCCATGAGAGTTTTGATCTGCAACATTTTTGTAATAATAATTTCGGCAGCAGTGTCAAAGAACAAGAGAATCCAATCGGGTCGAAAATCGCTCGTGCTAAGGATAAAAAAAAAATTTTTTTTTTTCATTACTAAAGGTACTTCTTGAGCAGGAAATTTTTTTTCGTGTCACAACTGAGAGTTATATAAGAGTATCTTCCTTTACGTCCCATACAAGGTTCAATACAGAAATACAATTTGTTGTATTTTTGCTTGCCTTTAAAGAAGGTTCAGTTTCTGAGAAAAATCCAGGGTCATCATTTATTTTCAGATGTATTGTACTGGCAGTCCTGAAACTCAAATTTAGCATCTGACATTATCCGTTTTGCCAAATTCCATAAATTTCTCAACTTCTTCAAAACTGTTGAAACTGGTCAGGCAATTATCGACGTAAAATGATTCTTTCAATTTCCTGGCCGTTTCTTGAGTTTCCTCCTCCATATTATACAAGTGATATGCTATAGTAGCACCTAATAAAAAAGGGCTTGAAGTTACTCCAAATGGTACTCTGCAATGTCTATAGATTACTATTTGGATCATCATCTTCATACCACAAGAACTTCAAATAATCTCTATCTTGTGGGTTCAAATTTATCTGCAAAAAGGCTTAATGTAAAGTTCCTCACTTTGTAATTCTAAGTTAATGTTGGAAGTGAAGATTCTTAAGTACTGATAAGCGAATAATCGTTTAAGTTCGGGTGACAAGAAACAACAAGATAGAAGGGTAACTAACCCTTTGTTATTCCAATAAGATTTAATAAAACTCCGCCTGGGAGTGTACAAACAAAGCCCTCACTCGGGCTTGGACTTAAGAGACTAAGAATTAAACTAAAACTAAGATTAACTAAAGAAATATAGCCGAAGCTATCAAGATTCAAATTGAGTTGGCTTCTTAACTTATTTGACTACGAAGCTTAGCAAAGGCCTGAGTGCGGCCGAGCATAATAACAGCTTTGAGAGAGAGAGTGGCCAAAAAGGCAGACATGTGTAAATCAGAAACTCTGATTCTCTCTCACTCTGAAAGTAATTTCGTGGTTTAAATACTGCTACTCCTCATTAAATATTGAGCAAGATTCCAAAACTACGTTCTGGCCGGAAGTAGTAAGTTGGAAGTTAAGAATTTGACAGGAAAGGAACTTTAACCTAAAATTTAACTGTTAATAAAATTAACATAATCCTTACAACGTATATCAGCTGTTACTCCGTATCTTTTCAGTCGAAATCATAAAAGTATAGACGATATTACTTGTATCTTGATTTATGCCTTATAGCTTTGTGCATAAAATCAGAGCATAATTAATTACAGTTGCCATAAAGAAGTTGTATTTGTCAACTTTATGATGCTTAGCTAGAGTTTGAATGTTGTGTCATGAATAGACACATAATTAATGTTAGCAGTGTCTGCATCGATTTTAACAGCACTTGTAACTTGTTTAATTCATAAACTTAATTTCTGTCTTTTATTTTAATATATCAGTTATGGGGTATTTATGAAATAATCTGATATAATAAATGTTTTGTGTATTATAAATGATCATAAAAAATATGTAGCAAAACTAGAGGTTTTGTAAAGTATGTAGAAGGCTTGTGCACCGAACATTCTTTTGTAATTGATTGTTGTTTTTCTGTAACATGTGATTCTAAGCACTTTTCATGATAAATATGAGAACCTTTCCCAATTGCTATGTTTGAAAAGGCTTAGTGGAAACCTTATCACTACCACTGACAACTTATTATTTTTGGTACTTTTTCGGTGTTTTAACGAGTTTGTATTTTGTATTGGAACATGTATAGATAAGCAATAAAACTATTTTTTAATATTGTGCATAACTTTAGAATTTTTTTTATCATGAAAAGAATATGTATTAGTAGTAACTTAGTAATTTTAGATTAATGTGCAAAAGAATTAGTTTTAATATGTATTTATTATTTTTAGTATGTGTTTGGGTCTTATCCCAAATAACCCACATTATAATAAGTACGCTGGTTCGTTACTGTATTAATTCCCATAATTAAATTACAGCCACTCATTATTAACTCATAGCTGTGACCAGCCCTCGTACACTCGATTGCAATTCTCAAACTCGTCTGATCATAACATTACAGATGCGCATGCACGGATTACATTACAGGTGCGCAGGTGTGAACAGTGTGAATGATTGATGTGTAAAGTGCACACAATTTTGATGAAAGTTTTGCATTATTGAATAATTATATGACAGATTTTAATTATAAAACTTAATTTATATTTGAATTTTTTTATGTGCATTAAATTGCTTCTCATTAATCATATTTTATATTTTGTCTTAGATTTTACCGATTCTCACTCCACACTCAACAATGCTCATTGTTATGGGATGGATAATGGGTTCAATGGATCATCATGTAATAATCAAGCTCTTCTTTCACGTAGGCCACACAGCAGACATGACTTTCGCATTTCACTCTCATATTCAAAGGTGAGAAATAATCATTTTAATGTCAATGCACAAAGTTCTCCAACTCTGTGGTATTATATTTACCCAAATTACAAAATGAATTCTGATATTCGTTTTTTTGAAAATAAATAATAGAAATCCCATATCCAAGGAAAAAATAATTATACAGTTCACATACAAGAGGAGATGATTTAGAAAAAAGTTTCATTTGAATAAGACAAAAAGGGTAGCAAGATAAAACTCGGTTGTTAGAAATAAAAAGCAATCAGTTGATGATCTTTTCAAAGTGATTTTTTTTTGGAAGGATGAAAAAATGAGAGACTCATGTTGTAGTTCAAATATCCTTAGAAAGTGTCAGTTTGGGCATGAGAAAATTATTTTTAACTTTTACTTCTGTTCCAGTATTAATGATTGATTTTAATTTTGATAGATTTCATATCATTTCATCATGAGAAACGTTACCATAAAACAATCTCGTTTCAGGCTGAAACGCCAAATAAGCACATGACAAACAATGGCAGTGGCTTTTACAGTCACAAAGGAAAAGGAAAATTACATGACAGTGGTACGATCACTAATAATGGTATTGCTGAAGGGAGAGGAATGGGTGTTATCAGCAATAACTTCAACCAAGAATTTGTAAGATTTTGCTTGTTTTATAAGATTTCAGTTTGCTTTAAATTATTGCTTCTATAGATTTTAAGGACATTGATGTTTATGTAATTTGTTTTCTAGCCGTCATTGCAAGGAGATATAACTGAGGAACCAACTACTCCTCCAGCTTTAAATGGAAGTGCATGGGGTATGTAATTTTAGATTCTAAAGATATTGCTACCTTTATTGGCAGCAGAATATTGATTATACACCCATAATTACTTATGTATTCACCCCCTTTTTTCTCCTGATTTTATTGTTCAAAAATAGAGAGGGGGAATTATGTGAATAATTTAATTTCGAAGCATACAGTTACAAGAAGAACATACCAAATGAAATATATTTAGTGATGAATTACCAGTAACTATCAGAAAATTCTTTATTTAAAAAGAATGTATATTTCCATAAGAATTTTTAGTAATATGACCGTTGCAATTGTAGACTTTTACTCGATCTGGTAATAGTTAATCAGTCCAAGACCACTAACAGAAGTAAAGCAGATTATCACTATGTCTGAAAGTAACTACAGAGTCGAATAAAGGTTTAAATAACTTTTTTTTAGATAGAATTAGAATGAATTTATTTAAACAATTTAAAATTTAGAATCTTATTATTTAAACAGCATTTATAATTAGTAAGTGCACTGCTCATGCAAACAAAATCAATCACAGCTTGTGATGCAACTAAAGGAACTGTCAAATTCTAATTAAAACATGGATTAGACTACATAATTTAAATATACTCAAAGCTGTCTCAGTAATTCTATCTGCATACCAAATTCAAATGTTGGCAGCGATGTAATGCAAGGTAAAATAATTGCATCTTATCAGCATTGCCAGGAACTGGCACTTACAGCCATAACGTGCACTTACAGCCTGAAACACACTCTGTCTTAAAATTCCCAAAACCTCAGTTTAAATACTAGCTAGCTTATTTACATTCTGGTGAAAAAAGGAAAAGTTATAGTAAAAGCTGAAAGTATAAATAACTGATTAATTAAAATTATAACCCTATACAATGTCTGATATGATATTTTTATTTCTATTTCTCTTATCTAAAATCTCACTCCATTGCTGCTCCCTAGTCCTTAAATCATTTAATGCAACTGGAAATACTGTTTGTGTCATCTGCTACAACTTGCAAGTTGTTGCTGTCATCATGGTTGCCATTATCTTTGTCACCATTCAGTCTGTATTCCCACTTATGATGTTCAGAATGATGTCAAGAGTTTATCCCCTTTTCTTTAAGGTCTTCACTATTATTGCTTCACCATTCAGAACCCATGTGCCCTAAATCCATCAAAAAAGTAATTAGTAAGATGAAAATGAACAGTTCATTAAAAACTTTAGGAAAATCCATTAAAAAATTTAGGGAGCTTCCTTTGCAAATAAATACCTTGAGAAAAGAAAAAATTGCATAAATACTTAAATAATTTTCAGAGCCTTGTAATAGGAGAATATGCAAATAAATACAGTATTTCACAACAATAACCCACAATCTTTTTTTTTTGGGGGGGGGTGTTTCAGGAAATTAAAAAAATGATTGTTGAGTGTATTATTTCTCATTTGCAGGGTGTTTATTAAAAGATATTAGGAACTTTCAGAGATGGTGCATTCAAACATTCACTTTTTTATCATATTAGATGCCTGTAAATTATAATTTTATATGAAAAAGCCTAATGTAATTTCAAAATTTTATATGTTTATTTACCTAATATTTAATGTAATTGTGAAATTTTCACTTTTATTTTAGAAAAACCCAGGAATATAAAAATTCATAACACTGGACTCGGGAAAAAAATTCAGCTAGTAAAGAAACCTGTAAAGGGTGAGAATTCTTGTGAGAGTTCCAGAAAAAGTCCAGGTAATAGTGTGAGAAGGATATGGTAATAACATGCGTTTGATTTAATAAGTTATTTTAGCATTAAAATTTTCACAGCTTTCATTTGAGTAACTTGCACAGTTAGAGTAACCTGCATGGTTAGAGCGTTCAGAGATTTCAAGGAATAAGCCTACTCTCATAATTGTGAAATTTTTAGTTATTTGTCTTACTATTTCTTTTTGAAATCTGGAAACTTTCTGAGCTGTAATCAACTTTGCTTATTTCTTCAAAATTATTTTTTAAAGCCTGACATATATATGAATTTAAAATAGAGATAAAAATTGATTTTTGAAGTATATACAAATTAGAAAAGTTTTATTATTCTGCCAAGAAAATGTATACAATAAACCCTTGCCAAACGTGAAGTAATAGCAGAATGGGATTTTGCACATACGCAGTATCTTAATTGTCTCCATTTAATTTGTCCAACATGAGAATTTCAATTGTACTTGGTTCTGCACAGTGTCAGCTATATTGCCGTAGACTTCTTTAATGACTGGCTTCATTCTTTAAAGAAGTCAAATATCACTTAGAACAGTAAAATCTGAGCTCAAACGTTTTCTTAAGTCTCATTATTGCTCTAGGGGACGATACTGAAAATCTCATAACATTGCATCTAAATGTAAAGGTTTTATTCCTTCCACCTAACACCAGCTTACCAATTAAACTTAATCCAACTAATGATTCAAGTAATCATAAAAATATTCATGGCCTATTATTTCAGGCAGAATGAAGGAAAGAACAACACTCGATTGCATTTTGGAAGTAAACAGAAGAGATAAGCCAGCTCAAAGCACTTCGAAATCCGATATATATATATATATAAAGTTATGCTGTCTGTTTAGTAGCATTTTAAGGGTATTTTTTTAAAGGTTCTACCAGATATATTTTTTAATTTATTAAAAAGTGTACAGTCATCAACTGGATAAATTGAGTAATACCATCAAACAGGAAAAGCCAGAATTGTCCAACCGAAAAAGATGAGATCATGTTAGATTTAGTACAAATTTGGTAATTTATCAGAAGCTTATAGCTTGGATGAGATGTCTACCATACCTACTGTGGTTGCAATATCTGGCATTTTCAAATTGTTACTTGTTGTTGTCCTTACAAAATTATTTAAATGATAAAACATGTATTTAAAATTAGAATGTCAAGAATCATTTCGATCAGTTTTTTGTAAGCAAAGATCGGAACTTTTATGAGCATAAAATCAGGCTAATACCAGCAGCGGAAGACATTGCATAGAAATGAATAAATTTGCATAGGAGGGTACTTTTCCGTTTTGCTGGCGCAGGCGATAAAGTCGCCAATAATGGTACAATTGATGTCAAATGGAATATCCTCACTATTAACCTTTACACCTCATTTTCAAATTAAGTTGCAGCCATTTCTTATCAGATTGACTGTTTCTTTCATGCATACAATCAGATAGAATTTTTACCACATAGTTCAATTTTGTGCCCTAAGGCCATTCGCGGTAATTAAGTCTAATTGACGTAATGGATGCAATCACACTGCTCACCCGAAGGCGAAAATATAGAAAAAGGCAAAGTCAAGGGTTAAATTCATTAATTCTAATGAGAATGCGCTAGCGAAGTAAAGCACTGTGGTTTTACATAATTTCTGAGTAAGTTATTTGTACTAATTGAAATAATTCTTGCATTTAAACCTGTATTCCAAATTAAGATTTAACTTGAAATTAATGTAGATAATTACTGAGAGAGTTAGATTTTTCTAGCGTAGTTTACGCAAGATGAGATCACTTGGGGGTCACGTGATATGAAACGGAGAATCAGGATGTACTGTAAAAACGTAGTAAATTCTTAAATCAATGTCTTTTTACAAATTTATTGTCTTTATTTATTAGCTTTTTACAAAATTTTAAACGATATTAAAATGTTAAAAATAAAAAAATCTTAGAACTAACATTTGGTAACATTTTTTATGTGTATACTGTATGTTGTCACCAAAAAAATTTGCTTGGCAAGATTTGCACCGGCGAAACGGAAACGTACCCATAGGAGCAAGTAACACATAATTAACATATATGAAATTAATTAGTATTATGCTGCTAAAATTTTCTCTGCAATATATCTCTAAACCATTGTGATCTTTCTGCTCTTTCACGTGCTTTCAAATAGCACAAATATTTTTCTTTACAATTTTTAATTGTTATAAAAACTTGAATATATGCTTTGCATTTCAAAAACTGATTCTAAATTTTTCAGTATTACAAACATAATGTAATGTAGTAAGATGTGCTAAAAATTAAAAAGTGTAATGTATAGTAAAGCAGTGTAATTTAATAAAGTAAAATTTAATGTAATATATTATTCTCTATTTGAATGTCTGGTTTCTATCATATTTTTATGTTTATCACCTCTGCTGGGTTTGCATTTAAATACACGATATATTTGATGTTTGATGCGTGTGCATTTTAACTGTAATGCAGTTGTATTTATTTACTTGTGCCAGCTGAGTTAAGAGCTTACTGTAATGCTTGTTCTGAGTGTATTTTCTTTGCTCTTAAATGTAGTGTAATTTAATAATGTACAAACTTATATGAATATTAGTACAAAATCTACTGTCACAAGAATGAATGTGATAGCTAAATACAGGGGTGGCCAAAGTGTGGCTCGTGAGCCTGATACGGCTCTCGCGGTCAATTTGTGCGGCTCTTGCATATAAAATATATGAAATATGGTAAACTAAAACTATTTAGTGTCCAAAAAGAAGTAATTAATTAGTTTAGACTCTTTTTTACAAAGTTATCAGGGATATCTTTCTATTTAAAACCTCCTCCACTACTTCTATAAAGATGTACACTGGTGTCCAAAAGTCAAGCATAATTGATAATTGTGTTAATAAAGAAGGAACTGTAAATCAGAATGGTGAGAAACGTGATATGCGAGTGTAAAATGGTTATAAAATAAGGAAGCTAATCAAAAGAACGATGATAATTAATTTTATTATCATCATTATTTAAGTAGCAGTTTGAAAGAAAACTGAGAATAGCAAGGGTTCACACTTTAAAGAAAACATTAAATAAATTACTGATGCTGCAGTTTTTAATAAGGCGTGTGGTCACCTCTGACGGCCAGGCACGCTGCACAGCGATTTACCATACTTGCTACGAGATGATGAATGAGTTGTGGGCTCAAACGGTTCCAAACTTCTTGGAGAGTTCTCTTCAGTTCTGTAACGGAGCTTGGTGGGTGCGAAAGGGCTGCAATTTGTCTCCCGAGCATATCCCATACATGCTCGATAGGATTTAAATTGGGAGTTCGCAGGCAACGACATGCGCTGGATGTTTTCTGTTTCAAGGAAGTCATCAACCATCACCGCTTGGTGACATGGTGCATTATCATCCATGAATATGAAGTCAGGACTGACAGCACCTCGAAACAAGCAAACATAAGACTCAAGAACTTCGTCTCTATATCTTTGATCAGTCGCAGACCCCGTGGAAATGGAGGTCTGTGCGGCCGTCCATCATGATGCCTGCCCATACCATTACTCCCCTTGATGGAAAATGATGTCTTTCTGATATGTTTCTTGGTTCAAAAGGTGTTCCACATTCTCTCCAAATCGTTACCTGACGAGAATCAGAACTCGGACTAAACCGGGACTCGTCATTGAACATCACATTGGCCCACTCTCCCACACTCCAATGTTGATGTTTCAAACTCCAGTTCAAACGAGTGCGTTTCTGCACAGACGTGAGGGGAATGCAAACTGCTGGTCTTCTGGCATATAGGCCAGCATGATTGAGTCTCCTGTAAACAGTTTGTTTCGAAATTTGTATTCCTGTGGCGACTGTGAACGCTTAACCCAGTGCTCTGGCAATACTGTCCCTCTGATGTTGCACACTTATTACCAGATATCGGCCTTGGCAAGGGGTTGTTACTCTTGGTCGACCTGATACTGGTCGTCGGGTAACATCTCCCATTCTTTGAAACCTCTGCCACAGTCTTGAGAGCACAGACTGGTTCACATTCAGAATTTGATACACTTCGGTTTGTGATCGTCCAGATTCCGGCATTCCAACGATTCTTCCTTTCGCAAACATCTCCAATTGGCGTCTTTGTGCCATCATTCACCTTGTTTGATGGTTAACAACGTTCTTTTGCACAGCAGTTGCCCGAAACTTGTCTGAACTGCCTATGCTGCGTGAATCGGTTTCTCTGCATTTCAACATGAGCAGGTGTTTCGTGCAGGACGTAGTCGACTGAAAAGTTTTGCATAAACCCAATGTTTCTTCTTCACCCAATTACTATCCGCAAGAAATTTGGAATAATTTTACGAATATTTACTCCATGTTTTTCACATTTTACAATTTATGCTTAACTTTTAGACACCAGTGTAAATATGAACTTGTGGCTTTTAGATAATCTAGATGCGGCTGACGAACATTCCTGAATTCAAATGTGTGGCTCTTACTGACATGAAGTTTGGCCAACCCTGGCTTAATATATTGTAAAAGTATGTTATTCTCACTGGTTATTAAAAATTGTGTCTCTGTTTGTTTAAATAATTTAAATAAGGTTTTATTAGGTATTCACTATTATAGAAATTATACATGCAAAGAAATTTTGATTTTGTTACCATATTTAGTCATTTTATTCTGTTTATGCAGTCTTTGAAAGTACGGTAAAATTTTCTGTTGTGTAAACAAGCCACTAATTTAGTTTTTGATTGGTTAACAGCATCTTCATCATCTGGATCTCTCTCAAAGTCCTCAAGTTCCATTTCCAGCATTACGAATCCGCACACTGTCATCGTCACTCCAGTTGCCAAAGGTGGCTCTTCAACTTGCAGAGCTCTCATCCCTGCCAAAAATACCCTTGTTAGGAAGATGACAAGAGAAGGATTAAAAGTAACAAATAAAGTGAGTATGTTAAATGAGCATTGATTAAATTTCCAAGTATGGTTCAAGCCTAGGTAACTTTAAGAATAAATTCCTCAGAATGTATGTATATATATTGAAGTGCCACTGAATTATAGATACCCAAATAGTAGCAAATTGCTGCTGCTTTTGTTTTGAAAATGACTACCACAGAATAAAGCATGGATTCAGCAAGTGTTTCAGGGATATGATTTGCCAGATGTGTAGAATTTCCTATAAATCAGTAAAGTACACTGACGGTGGATGTGCTTGCACATTTTTTTCAGATTATCTGAAAGATGTTCAATGGGACTTAAGTTTGGGTTCTTGGTGGCCATTTCAACTGCAGACTTTTGATATAGCAAGACAGTATTTGAGACAAAGTATGATAATTGTATAAAATTATAAAATTTACCCGATGTAACATAAAACAGGGAAAAGGAAAAGCTATAGTTAATAATATAAAAATTCAAAATTACTCAGTAAGTAAACTTTAAATCAAATTATAAATAGTAAATTTTAAGCAATACCTCGTTAAATAAATAAAAATTGCATAAATGTGCATGAAATATAAGAATATTAAATAAAATTTGCTGGTTCAATTTTTCATTCAGAGAGTTCAAGGAGATATATCAGTATCTTTTAAGTCCCTTATAGTTGTCACTACACATGATTGTACAAGATCATTGTGTCTTTTCATGACTTAATGTAATGTGATCCAAATCCTACAGGAATTTAAATTTGTTTGCTCCTTCAAGTATTCCATTTTCTCCAAACTTGTCTGATATTGCTTTTTTTAAAAATTAAATGTTCTCTTGTTGGATAAGTATTCAGGATCTCAACGAAGCTGTATACAGTCAAAAGTCGTTAATCCGGACTCGTCGGGACTTCGGCGATTCCGGATTATCGACTTTTCCGGATTATAGATCATCAGTTTAAATCTCGTAAGATGGCATGCAGAAATTATGAAATTAAAAATATGAAACCGTAATTTATGAAATAAAGAACAATTATGATCTAAAGGGTATCAAAATTTGCAAAAAAAAAAGCTTAATATTTATTTGTTTACTTTATTAAACATTTCTTTCAATGTAAGTTGTTTAAGTTTTGCTTTGTTTCATGTGATAATACTTTCTCTTTAATTCTATTAAACAGACATAATTTCTTGTTCAGTTACAAAGTTCCGCCGTTCAAGTCCTATAATTGCTGTATCAAGAATACCGACTAATTTGTCAATCGAAATATTTTTGTTTTCAATAACCTCTGTCACTTTTCTTCGCTATCGGAAGCGAATTATAATGACGAGGAACTTGTTTTAAATCATATCAAAGACAAAGCATATCGAGATGAAATACTACATTTGGTAAGGAATTATAAGCCAAATAAAATAAAAACATCTGCGCTGAAGATAAGGATAGTGCTGACAAATCAACTTCCAATTCATTACGCGCCCGCCGCCGAGCAGCGTGAAATTGATAAACAGATTTCGGATATCAAAACATACTTTCGCTTTAGATCCTTTACATAATAACAAATATATATCGGAAATTCTATTTGATATAATCGAAAGTTTAAGCTTACTTTTATAAAATTGCTCTTACAGTCTGCAAAAAATAATAAGCCGGATGCAATTCGAAAATTAAGGAACAACGCAATCATCAACATTAACTGAAATAGATAATTATTTAGCTTATACGTCCATTATACATAAAATGCGCGCGCGAAAAACGTATTCTGGACTTGCGCACACTCATATGCGCAGTCGTAAAAGGTCTTACGCGCACGCGTGAACGCCTCTGCGCATGTGTCAACGCGGCGCATGCGCAGAAAGTTTTTAGTTTTGATGTCCGGATTATAGATCATTCCGAATTATGGGTGTCCGAATTAACGACTTTTGACTGTATTTATTGTTTTATGTTTGATCAATAGAAAATGAGATGGTAAGCAGTTCAGGTTCGTGTAAGTCAAAGGTCGTGTGTTTGTAATATTTTTTACTTCTGTGAGAACAGTAATAAATTCTTGAAAATTCAGTTGATCTTTGTCTAAGATCTTTTTTTAACACCTCCTTAATGCTTTTCACAAGATGTTCATAAATTCCTTTCCTACATAGCATAAGCTACACGATAAAGATCAGCAGGGTTCGTACGGTCCTTAAAAGTCCTTAATTTTTTCAAAAGTGATTTTCGGTCCTTAAAAGTCCTTAATTGTGGCCAAAATGAATAAACGGTCCTTAATTTTGCTCATTTGACATTTGGATTTGCGTTGCAAACGATTAAAAAAAAAAAAAAATATTAGCTACCCGAACGAAAGTATCGGTGTCTGATTGGCTATTCACCCAATCTTTCGAAACAGGTGTTATCCATAAATTTAGGCAGATTGTGCCGAAAGAGTGAAGCCGGAAGTTCTTTAAGAGGCGAAAGTGATGATGAAGGTGCTCGAGAAAAAAAAAAAAAGGGGGGGTGATTCTGAAAATATTTGCCAAAATTAGAGCAGTCCCAACTTGGAAGGTTCTGATGCCCTTCGGACGATGGAACGAGATGCCTGGAAAGTGCATTTTCAATAAACTGTGGCTTCATCAAGCTGACTACAAAGACTGGATATTGATGGATGACAATCCTTATAAAGCTAAATGTGGTCTTTGTCTGAAACAAATTGAAATTTCTAGAATGGGACAGTCAGCGCTGAAAATTCACATGAAAGCTAAGTTTCGTTTTATCATTTCAATTTGTTTTTACACGGTTTTGCTTACCTTAATTTCTGTGTTTGTTTGAACTAAGCCATAAATTAATTTTTGATCACTTTCTACGGAGTTTATTCTCTTTTGCACATATATGTATGGGATATCGGATTATGAGTTTATTTCTGCAGAGGGTCTGTTATCGATTTTGCGGGAAATCTATTGGCTCCATTTCGATTTTAGGTCGCCAAGGGCAAATTCGGTAACTACTATAAAAAAAATTAAGTTCGGAAATACGTTTTGAAGCTTCAATAGACAATTAAGTATTTGGTTTAATCCTATGCACAAGGTATCCGTTGCATAAGGGATTTGGCTACTTTTGGCAACTTTATGAGGAGCAGTAACCAAGACATATACTATGAGTAGTTAAACGGGTCATTTTGGTGTTGGCGATAATTTTCAAAATTGCACCAAGGCTGCACCGTATATTAGAATTTTATTAAGTATTTTTATAAAAGGAATACTGCTTTCAGAAGAATGTTATTGAATTTTAATATCGCATCAGTTATCCAAATAGTTGGTCGATATAAAATTTCATTGTGATAATGATTGAAATTATCTTTTTATTAAGCTAATTTCACCTATTTATAACTAGAAATTAAAATAAAAGCTAAATCCTGAATAAAAAGTCAGTGTTGAAATGATAAGGAAAAAATAAAAGAAACGGATGATTAATAAATTAAAAGAAAATGACCGATAAGCGGAATGGCTGCTACACGGAGAAAACGTGTTTATGGTATTGCCAATATAGCATTCTTAAGGCAATTTTAGCGATGTAACGGAATCTCTGCAGGAATGCTTGCCTAGAATATTTCGTGATGTCGCAATTTTTTATCGATATAGTACATTTTTTAAGTGTTAAAATATAATGCATAAGAAAAATTCATACATTTTTTTTAACAATAAAACCAATTATTGCAGAATTTTTATCTTTGCTCCATCATCTGATAGATAAAGAAATAATGTTTTAATTAAAATTTTCTGGTGTGAAGTTCTGCTGTTACCGATGGTTGCAAAATGTCCCAGCAGTTGAAAGAGCCATTGAAATATGGGATGACTTGCTACTATAAGTTAAAAAAGTTAAAATGGGGCAGTTTAAAAAAAATTCATTGAAATCCTTTTCAAATATTTTGGAGGCAACTAAGGATAAAACGTTTCTTATAAAATTAAATTCTTTTCTCTCTCTGTCGAAAATATTTATTGCCTTTCCTTGAATATTATCAAAGCAATAAACCACTTATTCCCTTTTTTTGCTGAAGATATCTTAAAACTTGTAAATGATTGCTTTTAGCACTTTAAAATTTTGAAACTAGAATATTCAAAAATAACTAAAGCAGAAAATCTGGTACTATTCGGTTTCGAGGGCCGTAAAAAATCGCCAAACTATTGTTGATGCCAATGCTGCCAAAAATAATTGCGGCAACCCTAATAATTGCGGCAAGAAAGGAAGTATAACAGTAAATAACTATTTAAGATTGATGTTTTAATTTAGATGAAAGGTTAATTTCATATAATACTTTTTATTACTATAATTTATATGAAAAAGGCGAAACATGACTGAATGGAAGCATAAGAGTAAATAACTGTATCAGATCATTATTATAATTTATATAAAAATTGCTAAACATAACTGAATGATGCCTGCATCTCTATTTTGCTACCGACTTATCGCTAAAGCATAATTTCATCTCGTTGGTTGTTCAAATGTAATTTTCTATAATGAATGATGCCTTTTCTTTGAAAATATTCTCGGTAAAGCGCAGAATCGCTCACTTATTTGTTTGCCACTTTTTACAAGGGTAAAAACAATTGAATTTTTGTCAATTTTCTTTTACTTTTTAAGTGAAAATAGGTCGATGTGTACAGTAAGTCAAGGGCATGCGCAGTGCCATTTTTGTGCAATTCTAGGACTTTTTTAAAGTAAAAATAGGTCGATGTGCACATGGATACCGAGTATTTGCAATTCTTAAAAACGCGTCAAGCAGTGGGGGATTCTGCACTTTACCCAAAATTCTATTTCCAACTTTTCGTCATGGGCGATTGTTAAATCCGTGTAATGTAATATCCATGTGAAATCCATGTAATATAAATCCATGGAAAAAAAAACGGATTTAAAATCAAAAAAGTAACTTAAAAATTAAACTAGTATTTCAATGGCGTCTTAAGAAATATAGAACTATATAAACTTGCGCAATCTGAAATCAGCGCGTACGCTAGATTTGGCGCGCTGTTATATGGGCGCGTTTGTTAGATTTGGCGCTTTTGCGCGTACATTTTCGCTGCAATTTTTTTACGGCCCTCGAAATCGAATAGTACCGAAAAGGGTAAATCTTTATAAATTTAATTTTAATGATCCAAATTGTTATAATGATAAAAGTAAAGTTTATTTGGGATTCATGAATGAATGATAAATGCCGAAAGAAGGACATTTCACAAGCTGCAAGTTTTGCATTGAAACAGGTCAACAATGTGTCTTAACAATGGTACAACACTTAATGGCTAAATGTCCAATAAATTATTCTCTTATTCGAAATGCATCTTGTATAGACCCACAGTTGATGGCTAAAAGTCCAGAAAAAACACAGAACAAAATGAAAATAGTTCTAACCGTATTAACGCGGAATAAACGTGTTTTACAAGATAATTGTGGTGAAATTCTGCTGCAGTTTGGAGAGATTCTAGACAAAGTAGTTAAGACAAATTTACATGAATTTTCTACTTTTGATTCTCAAAATCTTTCTCTTGACACATTTCTCTCTTCTTATTTTCAAGATTTTCACTATTCTAAAGTATGGAAAATAGTGAAAATAATTCTTATCTTGTCACATGGACTGGCCTTTGTGGAAAGGGGCATCTCTGTAAATAAAACAGTTGAAATTAAAAATTTAACTGACTCATCATACATTTCTCAACACACAGTATTTGATTACATAAAATTTTCTGGAGGTTTTCTTAATATCGAAATTAATAAAGAAATAAGATCAGCAGCAGCTTTGATAGATGCTTTTAGCAGATGAAGCCGAGACCAGCAGGAACATTGATTTGTTTATCAAAACAAATGAATTTACAAGAATAGTTAAAGAAAAGGAAATAAACATAAATAAATTAGATGTTAAAATATATGAAAAAATTTCAGATTTTAAAAAAGCCTAAATGTTTTGTATCTTTTATTGCATAGTTTATTATTATTCTAGTATCTTTCAAAAAACCAAAGAAATAAATTGTATGTTTACAAATCTGTTATTTTAATCTGCAAAATATCCTTACATTACAATTATAATAGTAGTTGACTGTGTTTAAATAAATATCAAATAAGTTAAATAATAATCATGTAAATCTCTAAAATATCTATGGCTGTTATTGTGTGAAATACACTTATATAAGTTTTTCGAGAAATTATGTTCTTAATATAATGTTATCTACTTCATAACTTGTAGGGAGTTAGTTTAATTTTCAAAATTGTTTTATGTTAAGTATTAAATTGAATTTAATAATAGTGCATAATACACACTTCTGTTAGCTTCTTAAATGGATAATTGCTTTATTCTATTCGTTTTTTTTTTTTTTTTTTTTTTCCCTGATAGGTCGTTAATTTTTTCTTTGATGGTTCTTAAAAGTCCTTAATTTTCACGGAAGGAAATGTGTACGAACCCTGGATCAGGCCAATCCTTTGGTTGCTAGGAAATTTTGAAAGTCTGCTCCTTTAATTATGCTGTAAAAATACACTAAATCTCTGGCAGCATATATAGATGTTTTCACATTATCTGAGTAAAAGGTGCAACAGTTTCCTCTTCTTGAGATAAAAATGTGTGAGAGTTAAAATGAATTTATTTGCAGATATATTGTAAACAAGTTCCAAATGTAATGCTTGTGTAACTTTGCACATGGAAAATACAATGTGTGATTTTTGGTTGTCTTTTCCAAATTTGACGTAACAGGGCCAGTGAAGTCCACACTGGTAACATAGAAAGGTGAGTGGTGTTTCTGCAGTTCTTTCTTTAGGAAACTGAGCTGTTGTTTGTTTCTCTGATCCTACTGCATTTTTTTTTAACATAGCAAGCAATTTGTTACTACTTTCTTCACCAAATGGTGGCTTTTAGAATTCCAAAACTTCTGTTATAGTTTTGCTAATGTTACAGTACCTCCTTCGTGTAAAACGTTGTTATTTTGGACTTATCAAGTTAAAGTGTCATAATTTCAAGTGTAAAGAAATTCATCTGAGCTTTGTGAATATAAAATATTTCAGCATCTTGAATTTTAGAAGTGCGTAATGGGCCACTGTCTTACTCTTGCAGCGAAACGTTCATCTCTGTTCATAATAATATTGTAAACAAATGTCATGCTTTGTTGCTCTAATTCTTCATTGTTCTTTATGTCAAAATTCTATTGAATTGACCAATTTATGCATTGGTTTTATAACCATTCTGGCCCTGACCAGCAAAGTGAGCTATATTTTAGAGAGTTTAGACCTAAACCTCTGGCTAAGTCTGTGGGATTTTCCTTTCTTGTTACAATTGCAGCGGACCACACAGAGATAAGTAAAGCGTGTATGCTGTCTTTGCAATTCATTGCTCCCAGTCTTTATGATATGTTCCATGACATGTTCTTGACATCCTACAGACATAACTACATTACTAGTGTCAGGAGATTTTAACGTTCTGCACTGTGTCTGTCGTCAAAGTCTCTCGATTTCAGGTGGGGTGATGAACCAATAATCTAATTTTTCCTCTGGTATCATTCCAGATATAATGAATCAGAGGATGTAAAATGCTTCTGTAAAATTAGTGAAGTGTGGGTAATTCAGTTTGAAGATTTTCGCCATGGAAGCAACATCAGAAGAATGCTCCTGAGCTCTCGACTAGAGAGACCTACAATGCTCTTGATAAGAGAGCACGTCGTTAGCAGACTTCTCACACTACGAAGACTATAATTCATTTTAATACTTATCTATGAATTATATATATATATTTGTAAAGAGCTTCTCATAATTGTAATAAATATGTAATAAATATTATTAATGCTTTATAATTTTCTAGTGTATTAGCAAGATTTTGATGTAAAGGATTGGATTTTGATGTAAACATTTAGTCTAAATAAAATTATAATTTACTTTTTTAATTTCTAGAAGTCCTCCATAACACCCCCACCATCAACTCATTCCATGGAGATTTTAGTTAAACATCCCAAAGCACCTGGAAATAAATCTGAATTTTTGAAGGCTCTACGCAATGAGAAAAAGGAAAATGAGGAGAACGAAAGGGATTTTACTGAAAAGAATAATAGCTGCAGCAAAGATAATGTAAGCATTTTATATTTAATTTTTTGTCCAATTTTAAGTTTACTTAATTTTCTTCAATGAAATAACTAATTTGCAAATATTTTTGTATGTTATCTTCTAAATATTCATATATGTTGTACAAATAGAATGTGTTTGTAGTAGGAAGACTTTGATCAAATTCCTGTAAGTGCCTAAAAGAATTATCATAAGGCTACTACAAAAAATTTTGTTAAAATAATTAAAAAAATTAATATGCAGAGTTATTGTCAAAGACTTTGTAATATGACCTCATACGAAATGCCTCATGGTCATATTACATATTCATGGTCACTCAAATTCATGGTCATATTACAAATGAGGTATGAGGCTCATTTGTAATATGACCATGAATTAGTTTCTCTTGAGGGAGGAATAATTGCCATCATTTTCATTGATAATTCAAAAATAATTAACCTTTGAATTGTATAACAGATAGAGAGATTGTAAGAAGCAAATGTTATTGTTATCTTTAGTGATAGTTAAGCTTGTACTGGTCTGCAACTAAATTTACAGTATCTTGTCTAAGGAATAAATCCTGTTCTGAAAAATATAAATATTAAATATGTAATTCTTTTTTATATTGTTCTTATCTAATACTAAAGTAAATTTATTTGATGCAGTGTAACAAAAGTACCCTGAAGTTCAGTGTATTGCTTTGTTTAAAACTCCTTTTATTTTTAACTCATTGAAAGTCACTTAAACAATTTTTTTTGGGGGGGGGATAATTTTCAGTTTGAAAGACTTTTAGTTTTACATTTAGCTGTGGGTGCTTCTGCATTTTGAATAGTTGCTTTTGCAGTGGTCTTTTAATATTTATTTAAAATAACAATAAGATTATAATTTTTAAATTACTATATAAATCATTGGGTTAATTTGTTTTTGAGCAGATTTCTGTTTATTGCCGTAAATTAAAATTATGCGTGTGATGAACCCTTATTTAACCAGAATATGAGTGAGGTATATATGTTTTGCAAACAAACAATAAAAGTACTAAAAGCTAACATTTGACTCTGAACCAAAAGGCATTATTTTTTTAATTTCCTTTTCTTTTTCTTGAGGGAGGGGCAATGCTACTCAGAAACCAAGATTTGGGGGGGGGGTGAGCAGTGGAAATTGTTTCAAATTTATTAGCGATCTTTTAATAATGGAAATGAAGGATTTTCTGCAGTATCTTGACCAGGGCTGGCTTATCTTTCATAAGTGTTAACTGTTCCCCCCCCCTACAAGTAATGTCACAAGATTTCGTGCTCTTAAAAAAAATTGAAGGGGGGGGGAGAAGACTAGTAATGCTATCGAGAGTTTGTAAATGGTAAGTTTGCCAGCCATATTGTAAACTATATCCGTGTGTTTACATAAGCGTGACACTGATGCCTCACATAACAGATACCATACCATCCTATATTAAAGAATTGAGATACTGAGAAAAAAATGCTGTCTTTTTTTTACTTCATTTTTTTGGTTGGGGGGGGTTGCCAATTGTCAAAATGTGGTGATTTATTTCTTGCACCCATTTAAAGGCAAAGTACAGTTACGTCATTTTGTGAAACATCAATATTTTATTTTTAAAATATCATTTGTAATTTTTTATTGTATTTGTCATTAAAGCAAAATGGTTGGATAGTTTGTTCATAATTTATGAAAAACTATCCATATATTTTGAATGCTGTTCATACTATGGGTAGGTTTAAGCATCACGTATAATTTTGACTTCCACTGCAAATTATGAAACAAAGGTTGAGCGTAATATATCTTTTAGGACTCCTTACAGAGTCCATCCGAGGAAAATCATGTCAATGGGATTGACATCTCGAAACTATCCTTCAGTGATGAACGAGAAAAGAGTTTTCTATCCAGCTCCCTAGAAGCCGAAGAAAGGTATGTTTTGTTTATTAAAACATAAAGAATTAAAAAATTGCTTGCTATCTAAAGTTTTTAAAATACTTGTTTGCAACAAGTGTTAAATTATTGTTGCTAAATCACACAGGCATAATCCTTTTTGAAATTTTCTACCAAGTGTTATCAAGTATACTCTGAGAGCTGAGTGTCTGAAGCTTTTAGTCTCAAACATGATGCTTTTTTGTATTTTGGTTAAATTATGACCAATTGGTTAAGATTTCTGGATGCTGATAGTTCTGCTTATTTTCAAAATGCTGAATGGGCTAGCTATGCAGTTTTTATGGTTTTCACATATGTAATGTGAATGTGAGCCAGAGTTTTCCCTGGAAAAGTTTACCATGAAGGTATTCCTTTCCTTAAACAGATAGTCTTTATGTTTTGTGCTGTATCCGAATGACCTAACCTAGCCTTTTTTTGTATGTGTTTCCATGCACAAAAATAATCAAAAAGAAGTACGTGGTGAAAATAATAAGTGTGGGAAAAAAATTCAATAATTAACATATTGCTAATAATAATGAATTCCATAGCTTGTATGCCTTTTTAAAATTTTCTACAAAGTGATACCAAGTTATACATTGAAAGCTCAGTGTGTTGATTTTTTTAATAAGTTTTTCCTTTATTGCCATAAGTTAAAATTATTAATTTTACATGGAATTTTGGCAATTTGATGACAATATCTGAATGGTACCATTAAGGTTATATTAAATAACAACTGCTGTATGGAATTATTTATTTTAATATTTATTTTATGTTTGTAAATTTATATAATGCAAAATTTTATTGTAAAACAAATATTAGTCCAGTGCACAAAAAAATTATATTTCATATATTTTTTAAATATACAAATGGCAAAATTAAAAATTGAGTAAAAGTTTTGAGATCTTGTGTGGTAATGTTTGAGAGTGCATTTCTCTGTCGATTAATATGTAAAAGATTTAAATTGTTTGTTCTATTTTCAGATCTCTCATTTTGTATTTTAGAAATTAAGTACAATTTATATATGAAAGCGTGTTGATTGTTATTATTTTTTAGTTTATTAATTTTTAGAAATTTATTTATATAAAAACTTAATATTTCTTTTATGCAATATGCTGTAAATTCTTCGCTTTGCTACAGGTTATTGCGAGAAATGGGTTGGAAGGAAGAAGTTTCTGATGATGAAAACTATGCTCCTTTGACAGAAGATGAGCTGCGTGAGTTTCGTGATCGTTCTGAAAAGGTACGTCCAGACATTCTTCTGCTAGTTAGGCCTATTTTTCCAAACCTTTTAGAGTCACAGTCACAAAAGAGAAACTTTTTATTACGTCGTAATGTGTACTTGTAATCATAGTTTAGGAATTAAACTATGATTGCAAGTACTTTAAGAAGAAGTGCAACTGTAAGATTGCAAGAACTGGAAGAGAAAAGAAGTGATATTTTATGGGTTAAAGATTGAAGGATTGATTTTAATTACATATTTATAGCATAAAATTATAATTCTATTCAACTTTTAAAACATTGTAACTGTATCATATTGTCATTTGTGGCTTCCTCCTGTAGTGAGTGTGTTAAAGAATGCTTTCTGCATTCATTCAACACACTCAATTCCCATTGTATTTACGTGATGGACATTCAGCAGTTTGACTTTTCTTATTTAAAAATCTTCATCAAAAACATCACATAATAATATAAATATGTTATGTGAAATTGGTGTGCAGTTATTTCATGATAGTTCATCCAAAATTCCAAATCAGTGTGCTTTGTCAAGAAACCATGGGTGTATTTAAAGAATACAATGTGAAAAAGATATTATGAAACAAAACATAGTAATTATATGATACTGGAGGAAGAAGTAAAGGTATCAAAGTTGAGAAAATTAAATCACAATTTTAAGCTCAACAAAAATATAAAAATATATTACACTTAAATGTGTTTTTCAGCATTGGAACAATCGTATCATATTGTAAAAGCAAGTTATTGTGTTTCATTTCTAATTGCTTAAAAAAAAAGTTTTCAGATGGTGAATTTGTAAAAGTATGTTCAGAGGCAGCTGCAAATGATGTTGTGCCTGATAAAAGTAAATTATTTTTAAATATTTAGTTTATCTCAGCAATCAGTATGTCATCGAATTACCAGTATTTCAAGCAAAATTGTCGCAAATCTGCACGATCAAATTCGAGATTTGAAATATTTTTTTGTGGCATTTGATGAAAGTACAGACAATTCAGACACAGTCTAACTCGGGGGCGGCCAACCTTTTCGGGAAGAGTCCCACAATCTGAAAAAAAGAAGTTATGCATGCCACTTCCAACTTTTCCAACATGCTAAAAAGTATGAAAAGTTGAAAAAAGTAGGCTTTATATTTTAATTTGTAGTGTTTTTACACAAATAGCACTTTTTTATGTATATCCAAGTAGTGGACATAAAAAAATAATATAATAAATAAAACTAACATATAAACTAAGGGTTTATTATTAATAAACATTTTTAAAGGTACAGTTCATTAGGTCATGTATGAAACAAAAATTAATAATTTGATACATTTAATTCTAAAAAAGTATTAAACAATCAGTACTTAATTAATGTAGTTTTGTAACTAAGATCAGACTAAGTGCAAGATCCAAACCTACAACAATAACTGATAACAAATCGTGTAAATTTGGAAAATTGCTTGTTGGTACAAATTTCCAAAATTCAGCATAAGTTGGATCAATTGCAGTTGAAATAAGTTCCTTATATTTGCTTTTCAGTGCAGTATGCTGCTGTAGGTCAATGATTTTGGTTTAGATTTCAGTTGGGTAACAATTAATTGCTGAGAAATTGAATTATTATATTTATTCTAATTTGTTTACATGTGTATCTATCGACGAAGTTCATACAGATGGTATTATTAATTTTTCAAATCTTTTAATTTTTCAATATGTCTCCACGTGCCACCATTGAAACTCTGCTGTGGCACGTGTGCCGCAGGTTGGCTATCTATGGTCTAACTTGTAGTATTTTTGCGTAGAGTAAATGAATCATTTCAAGTAACTGAAAAAATGTTAAACCTGATCGGTTTGAAAGACACCGCAAAAAGAGAGATGCTTTTTCAGGCTGTCGAAAACTCTTTTATACATATATTAAACAAACAACTTATGTTTAGAAACTCTTTGTGGAGTATCAATTGATGGTGCAATAGCTGATTTGTAAAGATAAGGAAGCTGTAAAATTACTAATAAAATGAATTAGAATCAACCAAAAATTTAATTATTGTCCATTGTTTGATTCATCAGCAAAATTTGTGCTTTCAAGTACATGAACATGTTATTCAAGTGGTCTTAAAAGCAGTAAATTATATTCAATCACGTGCTGAATATGGTATCATTATATATTTCAGTCTTATATTATTATATGATGCTCTATATTTTGATAAGCGAAAGATCATTTAATAATTGAGGCTTTTAACTAGATCAAAGCATTTCAGAACAACTTGGTGTTATTTGAATTGCAGTTAAAAAATAATAATGTTCAACATTTTCCATTATTGAAAGAATTTAAAAATTCAGAATCTGACAATAATTCCAAATATGTTGAAGAAATAAGAAAACTTAATTGATTTTGACTTTCCATTCAGCAATTTAAGCAAACACAATAACATATTTGAAATATATTGGAACTCCCTTCCACATTGATATGAATGTGTATGTGAATGTGGCTTAAAAAAATCTCCAAACAGACCTAATTGATTTCATTGCAAATGTCAAACTGAAACACATTTTTCAAACATCAGATTCAAAAATTAATTTTTATAACACTTATAAAACAAAATTTTTTTAATTTGAGAAATCTACTGTGAAAAGCTGTGTGCTTTTGGATCATCTTACATCTGCAAATTTCTTTTTCAAAAATGAATTTCATGTTATAACGTAAATAAATCACTGTGTCCTTTACAACATCAGTTAGGTTGTGCTAATGCAATAAGATCGACTTAAAAAAGGGGGGGAGCACACTGATTATAGTAAGTATGCATGATCATAAATGTTTAACTGTTCTATTGTTAATTTATGAATAATAAAAACTCTACTCTATTCTCCATTGAAATGATATCCGATCTTAGACCCTACAGATTAAGTCATCCCAATGGTATGTATCTTTATTGCACCTTGGTAATAAAGATTTACTACATGGTTTTGTTACATTTCCTGCGACATCTTGCATGTTTTGTGCCTTGGGTATAATTTATGTGCTGATATTTAACAATATACTAACCAAAATAAGTCTTGGAATATAGTTCTTAGGTATATAGAGTAATTAATATTATATAAATGAAGTTCTATTTTCACTATCAAAATTCTTATTTAAATTCAAACTGAAATATATAATTCCAAAGTAAGAAAAATTCATTCGTAGTTAATTTTCATTATCACTTATCTTTGTCATTGTAATTATTCAGTCATGTGTTTTGCAAAGGTATGGAATTTGAAACAGTGTAAATTGTCAATTCAGACAAGATGTGAATTCATAATCAAAGATATTATGTCAAAGTCATAATGCAAATTCAGAGTACACTCAGTGAACATTTTATTCAAAGTTAATTGTCATTGTTTTGCAGAAATATAAAATCTGAATCTAAGCAAATTGTCAATTCAGTCTTGCTCAAATAAATTATCAAATTGTAGTTAAAGTCAGTTAAAATGCACATTCAAATTCAAAATGAGAACTCACTTGTCAAAGTAAATTGAAAGTGAAATTCTTTCAAATTAATTGATATTATTCTTTTCCATTGTTCCTTATCTTATCGTTATGTTGGGCTTGTGTGTGTGAAGTAAGCTGAATGACAGGCAGGCTGAGATGGCCTTCAAATGGCTTTAATGGTAAAAACTGTAATAATAATGCATTCTAGTTTAAACTTTCATGTAAAAATTTTATATATATATACAGTGTGACCCACTGGAATAAAATGCTTTTTCAGAGTGGTTCTGGGTTGGGCAGGCATGGATTAGCGATCAAGCCTGTAAAATGCAGTTTTGAAGAATATGCTTGCTGGAATAAGCTTTTGTGTTAAAATGACTAATACGAGACCTGACAAAAATTACTTTACTGAACTCCGTTCTGACTTCTCCAATCTTATTCAGAATTGGCATGATCAGAACGTGATTAAGTTATGTCCTTTAAATTGTTCTGTTTTACCAGCACTTTTATATTTGTATTTCTAGTTTTGATTATATTTTTAATACAAAGGGAACATATTCCATGAAACATTTACTGAAGTGCTGAGGATCATAATGAGATCTTTTTAATTGTATAAGTGTTGAATATTAAAACACATGAGAAATTATTGCATTCTCTTTGCATGTTTTTATTGTATAACTGGTAGCACCTCCAGCTATCTATGGTTTGAATCCCAGCAAGGGCATCAATATTAAAAAAAAATCTGCTCCATAAAACCTAAGGTTTCTATACTTGGTGGACGATAATTTATCACCATCTGGGCTTGGTAATCCAGGTTTGGTGGTTATTCTCAGTCACTCTTTAAATGGAGAAGAATATGAAGAAATATCAGTCTTCCTTGCATGCTGTCATATAGAGTAAGTGGTAGCATATCTTTTGAATGTTTGGTCGATTAATATTGCCACATGAAATCTCTTCAATTGGAAGGTAATGTAAATAATGTCCATGGTTTGAATCCTGCCAAGGACAAAGTTGATTTTTCGTGTTTCTTTCTCGAAAACTTGATAGGCTCTATGAACATAAAATGAAAATCCACTATTTTTTTTTCTTATTTAATTTAATGATTTTAATATGATTTATCTTGATGATCCCTGAAAAATTTATGAGGCATGATATAGCCTGTTTTTTCACAACCTGTAATATTTCCCAGTTGGCTATGCATGAAAATTTACATATTAATTTGTGATTGCATCACTATTTGACTTCTCAGTTTAACACATACACTGGCATGCTGGGCACATGTTAAGTATTTTTATTGTTTTTCATGTGTTTTTTTTTTTAGTTTAGTTAGTAGTTTATCTGTATGAAGGAACATGCACATATGATTTCAAAAGGGGATATATGACATACATGAAAAAAAAAAATTAACTTAAAATACCATGTTGTTTGTAGTTTTGGAGTTAAATAACAATTAATAGGAATGCTATGTAATGTTAAAATTTCATTTACTTCCTACTTCCACTTAAATTTCATCTTCTTCTTCCCAGATTTTGAAGAAAAATGGTGTTCGACGCAATCTTTTAGCAAATTTGAGCCCTCTCCGTCTTGCACCTTATCCAGGAGTGCCCCCACCGACAGAAAATACTTCTAGCTCTTCAGAGTCAGACTCAGATGAATCTTAAAACTTGTAAACACTTTGTAGTTGAGTTCTAATGGTCACTTTAAATGTACTATTAAAAAAATTTACTTCCCTTTTCCTCTCTAACTTTAAATGTACAATATACTTTTTTTTTTTTTTTTTTTAGTTCTTTGACATATAATCCTTTTGAATTTGAATATATTCTTTAACCCTGCAAATATTTTGTCGTGCTTTGCGAATCATGGGTTGGAATGAAACCTTAACACTGTAGACATTCACACAAAAGTATTATGTTAAAAATATAGATCTCTCACTTTTTTTTTGAAAAGTTTGTGTATAATGTAAGAAGTATTAATTTTTGCTGCCATTGAGAATACTGTACACTCGTTGTGCTTGTTAAATTGTTAATTTGTATGTTTAATATATTAAAATATGGTGGAAAATCTAAAAATTGAAGATTTTTTAAAAAAAATAGAACAGTCCTGAATGTTTGTAAGATTTCTTGAACTTTCTGTGTGAAAACAATATGTAAATATATTGATGAAGACTGCGTCCTTTATTTTCTCCTGTACACACATTTTTGTCTCAAAATATAATGTAGGGAAAAACAGGTTCTTAAGTATAATAAATAATTGAATGCTTGCTACAAGATGTAATGTATGATTTTGAGTTCAAGAAAATGGTGTAATGTGTTTAAAGTAGTAATAATTGATGGATTAAGAAGCTATTTTGTGACTGTAACGAGTGTACAGTTTTATATGATTTTATTTTACTTTACTGTTGTTTGCATTAATTGAAAGATACTTTTTTGATAATGTAGTTTATATTTTACATTATGAAATAGTTGAGCAAATTATTTTATTGGATATCGTATAAAATTAGGTTATTTCATGATATATATTCCAGAATATAAAGTTTTAATATTTTTTATAATGCACCTAGAGCAAAGAAAAGTTGCTCTAAGATTTAAAAAATCAGAATCGCATCCTTTATTTTTTCATGGAAAAAAAGAATAAATAGTTTTAGATTAAGAGATATTAAGGATTTATAGATTAAGGTTTTCATTCCAACCATGAGGTATTTTTTTGTTTTTTTAAAAGTCTTATATTTTTCAGTAAAAACTATACATGATTGATACACGAGATGCTGTTATGTTTGCTATGATCTTAGTGTTTCATCTCTTTTCCAGTCTTTTGATGATTTTCTTTTCTTTTTTGTATTTCTCAATGTTTTAAAAATGCTGTGTGGTGACTTTGCTAGAGACTGACATGTGCACAAATGTGTGGTTTATTTATGTAAATATATTATATAATGAGCATTCTTCAAAGGCTGAAGCATCATCAGTGATTAGTGGTGATTTTTTTCCAAAGACTCCAGCCTGGATATCTGAAAAACGTGGATACTGAATCCAGTCTAAAGGTTCAGAACTTTCTGCTAAAGAAAAACTGAAGATTGTACAGAAGTGTTTTTCTTTAACTTGTGAAAAATAAGCCTTTCCTATAAGCTTGAAATGGCTGATAGCCTTTGTTGATAATTGAATAAAGCACGATTTTGCTATTGAAGAGTACTATGTTTATGTCTATTTTATTATTTTAAAAATGTGGTTTCTGATGGAAACAAATTTTTCACTCATGATTTTAAATATTTGTATGTTTGGTGCATACAAATATTTAAAATAATATCTTGTCTAAAATTTATTCTAATACTTGTGACATTTTTCAGCATTGCTAAATTAATTCAATATGAGAATGCACCTCATATTTTGATTTAATGTAAATTTTACATTGGTGCATGATTACAATCAATTTCTGATTAACTGAATCATGTCTAAAAATGTTAAGCTTAAATGAAGAAAAAATCAGAAACAAAAAATATTAGAACAAAGAACATTACTAAGAAAATTTCTAATATAACAGCACTGATAGGAAATGTTATAATTTGGGTTTTTTTTCTTGTATATCTAATTCTAAACATATATTGTAGGCATAAAAAGTTCCAACAGATTTTTTGTGCAAGTTTGAATTCAATTACATTACTCAAGTAAATATTCTTCTTTAATACTGTTTATAACTTCGTTTTTTCGTTTCTATTCATATTTTTTTATTCTGTTATTTATCGTATCCTTTAATTTTAAATATTGATTTAATTTTATGTAACCAAATGAGCTTATTCACCAGATTAAGCTGCTTTAAGTTGACACAAATTGATAATAGTATTTTTCTGTTAATTACAGAATTTAAGCACGTATCAGTAAAATCAACAATTCTATGGCCCATTCATGTCAAGATATTACCGTACCAACAACAGTTGTAGAGGTCACACATCGATTTCATTTGGATAATATAGTAATATATCATGGAGGTTGGAAATAGTCCCTAGTTTGAAGTAGAAGTAGCACCCCTATTGATGACTAAAACATTCAGTGACTTGTGCAATAGGTTTTGATATGTTCTGAAGTAATTACAAGTTAAATATAAGTTAATTAATTATATTCTTATAAGTATAAATATTTCTTTTTCTATAGTAATCAGAGCCCAACATGATAACTTAAATTAAATGCTAACTTTCTTAGAAAAGTTTTAATGAATGAAATGTTTGCCATTAGAAAGAAATTGTAGTTCGATTTTATTCCGTTAATGAATATGAAAATAAATTATGTATTATTAATATAAAAAATTTATTATTCTCTGAAAATGAAATGATTTTCAGCTGAATATTTGATAAAAATGTAGCATGCTATAATAACGCCTCGAGATGGGTAGCGAAAACGCGCGCTTATCGCTGAGGCCGGCAGTGTCTTACGCGAGCGTCTCTCCAGGGCCGGGGGCTTTTTTGCTATAGGGCCTAAATCCATGAAATTTCCGAAGTATAAATGCATTGTTTAATAATGCTCTATAGAGTATTTAAATGACTTATGCTTTATAAATATTTTTATATATATACTTTAATTACCTTATTTCTTGTTTAAAAGCATATTTTACATATTTTATTTTAATTACTCACCATTTTATGAATTTTAACATTATACATCTGAAAACTAGATATATTACTTAAAATTCTCTTTTCGTATAAAAAATTTGAAAACAGGGATCTACACACAGTCCTATGTTACATTCCTTGCACTCGTAATAACTCATTTGCCGTTTTGGAGGATTTTTCCGGGAATGTGAACAAACGAAGCATCGTCGTCTCATTTTCTTATCAGTCTCTTCTGAACAAAGTTTTAGAAAATGTCTTTCAGTTAATCTTTCAGAATCAATATCAGAATTTCAGAATCAATATCTGAAATATTTTGCATCATTTCTGCTATTTCATGCTCTGTTAAACATTTTCGACGCTTCGACAATTGCAAACGGTAAAAACAAAGAATTCACGTCTAACAAGATCTAATTATTTTCTAAAAACTGAACTGCAAACCAAAATACCCAATGCTTTAGAGCAAATAAAACTTCTCTACTTACAGTAAACAACTACCACGTGCGAATAAAAAGTGCGATTTAAAGAGACGTCATAAATCACGCCATTCGGAAACATTTATTTCCCCGTTTGTTTATATAATTAAAAACACGTGTATGTGAGTCTTCTCTCATTTCGAGTAGAAGGTCTAATTTACATGTATCTGAAACCATATGGACATACAGTGACATCTTGTGGCAGAAATTATAGTTTGAAAAACGTTCCAAAGTACTGGCACAAATACGTGACAGTCGGTAGAGAACGGAACAATCCTCTGGCACGCCTGCGTGTCGGCCGGTAGGTAAGTGTGTTCGTTGCTGGCACGTATACGTGACAGTCGGCGCGAAGGGGTTAATGCTCTGTTCGGCTCATTTCAAATTGGAGTACCTTTTATTTCTGAATAGTGAAATATGTTAAATATTGCTACAGATTTTTGATTTCTACATACTTAACTTTCTGTAAGCATTTCTGAAAGGGATAAAAAAGGCAGGTTTGTTAATGTAATTTTAAAGGAAATAATTATTTTAATATTAATCAGATCCCCCTTCTACTTCAATAATTCCTTAAGTTCACATCTCATGGTCTGTGCTTTTACATCTTTTGATAGATTGTATTCCAATATAAACCATTCTTGCTTAAATAGTTTTATAAATATATTTAGAACTCAGTGGCACAACAGCTCTAGTGGGCCACAGCCTGCAGTGCCCAGAAATCTGCTTTCTTGACCTTGGCCCTGGAGTGCAACAGCATAGTGGTTAGCTTGTCACAGGACCTCCCGGTGTTTAGTCCCCAAGTGAACTGGTACTCATTTTATCAACCCACTCAAGGGACGAAAGGTTGAGTCAACCTTGCCCAACCTGCAGATTGAACCCTGGACCTGTGGTGCAGCTGTGTGACGTGCCAGCCACTTCGCGACCGGGCGGTCATAAATATATTTGCCAAGAGAATTTCAATTTATATTTACAATTATACATCAAGGTCATTATATATTTAGATAATAATAAATTTAGTTATATATAATAATTAGATTTCTTACTATAACATTCACAGGAGTTAATGAATAAATCCTTCATTTCTAAATTTCTAAGTAATTTAAAGAATTGACATATTTTGTTAATGCATGCTTTTAGAAGGATGTGTTTAAATATTCATATATATTTAATATTTTTCATTTTTGGGATATGCAAATCTTTAATTTCTGTGCATTCACTACATTTTTTGATTAAAGTAGCATATAATTTACCATACAATTTTTTTTTTTACATAAGAAAAATGTATAAATATAAATTGAATGAAAATTACATGCATTATTTTTATTATGCACTCAAAATAGGTTTTTCTTCAAAAACAGGGTTAATTAATTAGAAGTGGTGAAGCACATTGTTAAAAAGAAAAGGAGCTAATTTTTACTATATACATTGGAAAAAATTACAACCATCTTTTTCCAGCTTACAAGCCCTGAGGACAGAATGATAATATTTTGTGATTTTACATACATGCTTTTTGGTGGGTCTAAAGTAAATTAGGTACTATTCTGTTTTGAGGGCCGTAAGAAAATTGCAGCGAAAATGTATGCGCAAAAGCGCCAAATCTAGCAAACGCACCCATTTAACAGCACGCCAAATCTAGCGTACGCGCTGATTTCAGATTGCGCAAGTTTATAAAGTTCTATATTTCTTAAGACGCCATTGAAATACTAGTTTAATTTTTAAGTTATTTTTTGATTTTAAATCCTTTTTTGATATCCTATGGATTTCACAATTTGGGAATTACCCATGACGAAAAGTCTGCAATAGAATTTTGGGTAAAGTGCAGAATCACCCACTGCTTGACGCGTTTTTAAGAATTGCAAATACTCGGTATCCATGTGCACATCGACCTATTTTTACTTTAAAAAAGTCCTAGAATTGCACAAAAATGGCACTGCGCACGCCCTTGACTTACTGTACACATCGACCTATTTTCACTTAAAAAGTAAAAGAAAATTGACAAAAATTCAATTGTTTTTACCCTTGTAAAAAGTGGCAAACAAATAAGTGAGCGATTCTGCGCTTTACCGAGAATATTTTTTAAGAAAAGGCATCATTCATTATAGAAAATTATTATTTAGAACAACCAAAGAGATGAAATTATGCTTTAGCGATAAGTCGGTAGCGAAATAGCGATGCAGGCATCCATTCAGTTATGTTTAGCAATTTTTATGTAAATTATAATAATGATCTGAAATACTTATTTACTCTTATGCTTCCACTCAGTCATGTTTAGCCTTTTTCATATAAATTATAATAATAAAAAAGTATTATATGAAATTAACCTTTCATCTAAATAAAACATCAATCTTAGATAGTTATTTACTATTATACCTTCCTTTCTTGCCGCAATTATTAGGGTTGCCGCAATTCTTTTGGCAGCATTGGCATCAACGATAATGTGGCGATTTTTTACCGCCCTTGAAACAGAATAGTACCGTAAATTAAGAATTCTGTAAATTCATAAAATATCATTAATTCTCTGAGTAGCATGGTTTTTGAATCTGCTCATAAAACTCGTACTAAAAGAGTATTTATTAGCTAAATTTATATAATTACGTATTTTGCTTTAATGAACTTCCATTAAGATAATATTTACTTCATTAAAGAAAGTGAAATATTTTAAATTATGAGTTTAAATATACCAAGTGATAAACAAATCTCATGACTGGTTATGCTACTCAGGGCTTAACAGATGTTTAGTCCAGTATTATGGTCAATGGTTTTACGTATATATCAGTATCTGAAATACACTGAGTGTCATAAAAATTAAACCTACAGATTCCAAAAGGAGGTAGGGGATATCGAAGGCAACTGCATTCACTCAGGAATGGAAGAACGGAAATGCGATAGGAAGGTGCTAGAAGAGGTACAAGATAATCGACACTGAGAACATCTTATTAAACTTAATATAGTGGCTCTATATAAATACTGGATATAATGAATGATGCATCAACAGATACTCTTAAAGTCAGCAGCAATGCATGCTTTTCACCCAAATTGCATTTGTCAATGGATACCTTTGACACTGTACTCTGATCATACACATTGTGGGCTCAATCCACATATGAATATAACCTTT